ATTTATCATGCCCAAAAATCTTCGGAGTTGTTTGGCTGTTTTTGGTATAGGAAACTCTTTAATAGCCTGGACCTTACTTTCCAGAGGTTTAGTACCGTGTTGCGAAATGTGGTAGCCCAGAAATGTTACGTCTGACACCCCAAAGACACACTTAGACGTGTTTATGATCATACCGTAATCCCTCATCTTGGAGAAGAGTTGGCGAAGATGATCTTCATGCTCCTGCTCAGATTTCGAGAAGATCAAAAAATCGTCCAAGTAGGGAAAACAGAAATCTAAGCCACGAGTCATTTCATCGACAAACCTCTGAAAAGTTTGTCCTGCATTACGTAAACCAAATGTCATATACGGAAATTCGAACAACCCGAAGGGTGTCGTGATAGCTGTCTTTTGTATATCATCTTTATTGACAGGAATTTGGTTATACGCTTTTACTAAATCTATGGTAGAAAAAATTGTGCAACCAGATAGGTTATGAGCAAAATCATGGATGTGACGTATGGGATACTTATCTGGAATAGTTCTAGCGTTCAACAGTCTGTAGTCACCACACGGACGCCAAGTTTTATCTTTTTTGGGAGCTAAATGAAGCGGAGAAGCCCAAGGTGAGTCAGATGGACGTGCTGTACCACTTGCCAACATAGCGTCAAATTCAGCTTTGGCGATTTTCAATTTTTCTGGAGCTAACCTGCGGGGAGAACATGATATCGGGGGACCCGGTGTAGTACGGATATAATGTACAGTGTTGTGTTTGGGTGAAATTGGTTTACCTGAAGGTTTCATAATATCCTGAAATTCTGAAATGATGTTATGATATTTTGATACATCGGTCACAACCTTAACGCTAGGTATTGTAATTTCATCAATATCAACTGAAGCTATGGTGCACAATTTTGTAGTAGCGTCAATAATTCGTTTATTACGAACATCAACGAGTAAATTATAATATGAAAGAAAGTCTACTCCAATAATTGCTTTTGTTACGTCAGCTACAATAAATTTCCATATAAAATCTCTACGCAGGCCTAAATTGATATTAAATTGAATATAACCATATGTGTTAATAACGGTGCCATTAGCTGCACATAATTGGTAATTGGTCTTCTCTCGGCGATCGCGAAGCGCAGACCTAGGGAAGACACATAAGTCGCTTCCTGTGTCCACTAGAAACTGTATTTTAGACTTATGATCTGTGACGAAGAGGCGACCAGTAGAGGTTGGGCAATCATCTGTCGCCATTACTGACTGCCCTGCCCGTTTTCCGATTTGTAATCACAAGGACGGAGGCATTTTCTTGCTTGATTGCCGAACTTGAAATGGTACCAGCATTGTGGGAATTTGCGATAATTGGATTGTGATCTTTTTGATGGTGTTCGTTGCCGACTATGATGCGGTGTATGTCTTTGACGGGAACGCGAACGACTGTGTACCTCAGCAGTAAGTGCTTCAAGTCTTTTTGTAAGCTCTGTCATAGTTCGAGCCATTTCCTCTAAAGCTGATTCTGTTCCTGTACTGGTAGTTGCTATTTGAGGTGATGTAGATGCGATATCATGTACTCTATCTGCTAATTCTGCTAATTCGGTTAATGTAAGACTCAATTGTGATGCTATAACTGTCTGGAGATTGTTAGGAAGACGGCTTGTCCAAATCGTTCTTACGAAGTTTTCTGGAATGTTAGGGCCTGCCAACTGCTGTAGGTGTCGTAGAAATTGAGAAGGTTTACGATTACCAAGTTCTTCAGACTGGAGGAGCTGTTTAACTTTCCTTTCGCTAGACATAGACAATCTTTTTATTAATTCATTTTTCAGCTTATCATACTTGCCTGAAGTTGGCGGTTCAGTTATAACGTCTTCCACTTCAACAGCATATTGTCGATCCAAATGAGAAATTACATAATAAAATTTTGTAGTGTCATCCGTAATTCTGGCCATCGCAAACTGCCCTTCAATTTGTGAAAACCAAATGGTGGGTTTTTCCGGCCAAAATGGCGGTATTCGAACACCCACGCGGAAAGTCTCCGGCATCGATGACGATGGTTCGGACTCCATTTTGTCTTGCTATTTGATGTTCAATTCAGGGGTCACCAGTATGGCAGTAGCGATGACGAAAATTGAAACTTCCAAATAACTTTGCACAATTTCTTTAGTCTGAATATATACAATCACAAAATAACAAAATATAATCAATGTCTTAAAGATATTAATACTGAAACAAATTCCGAAAAATGATTTGATCAGAGAGTATAAATCAATATAATATATATATATTCTTTTTATTGTTATTCTTTTTGTAATTGCCAGAGTGTTTCAATAATCTATGTGAATGTTTATGGTAGTGGTGAATATATATAAATAAATAAATATGGAATGTTGTATATATAAGTATGATAAACAGATCATAATCTACAGTTTATAGCTATATATGTTATGTTTATAGTTACTTAGCTATTAGTCATATTACCGACTACGCCAAACGGTGGCGTAAATGTTTTTTTTTCAAAATCTATGGCAAACCCATTGCAATTCAAAGTTATAGCGATCAATAGAATTATCAGAAGTTCTGAACGACGTTGATTGGAATGATCAAGAAAGTTAATAAAAATGTATAATAAATGTCAAATTAACGATATATTTTGTGTATCTTTCAAAACTCAAATTGAATGGGATTGCAATAGATTTAAAAATTAGACAATCAAAACCCGTGTATTCTATTCTAATATCTGTCTACCCGAGAAAGAGATAAGGGATGATGAGTGGGTAATAAAAACGAAATTCATAGTCCCGTCAGTCATATAATAGCGGAGTAGCTCGGTGGCGTAGTGGATAAGGGCCGCGGCCTGCGATCGTTGTCTTTAAGCAACTTTCGCAAGGGTCGGTCACGGAATGGGTGACCAAAAAATTATTATCTCGAGCTACTCCGTGCTTCGGAAGGCACGTTAAGCCGTTGGTCCCGGCTACAATTGCAGTCGTTAATACCCTCCAATCCGCATTGGGCCAGCTTGGAGGGTCATGGCCCATCCTCCTTAACCATCCATAAGGAAGGCCTAAGCCCCTGCAGTGGGGAAGTAAAAGGGTTGATGTTGAGTCATATAATAGAGAAATATTAGAAACGTATTTTTTTTGCTTCAATTTATCAAGAAATGGCTTAGATAATAAGCGTTAAAGATGAAGACTCAGGGGGCCAATTCTTCTAAATAAATTTCGTGTAAATCGAATCGAAAACGGATCGGAACCGAACGAAACTACAGTTTTAATGGTTTTCCTATTCTACAAAGTGACATACGATACTATTTCAGTTCTATTTTAGCTAGAATTGTATCGTGTGTTACTTAGTATAATAGAAAAACCATTAAAAACTGTAGTTTCGTTCGGTTTGGATCCGTTTTCGATACCATTTAAACAAATTTTATTTAGTAGAATTGGCCCCCTGGGCTCGCTTCACAGCTTTGTAGAAAATGTACAAAAGCGTGACGGCATCCGTTATTTTAGTTCCTCCAATGTTCCACCGTAATTTTTCGATTACGCAAAAAAATTAAAAAATACGTGTTTTTAAATTAGTCATCATCCCAACATATCTTATTACCATTTGCAAAAAAAATAACAGTTAACCAAAGTCAAGATCAATCAAGATCTCAACTAGTCTACCGTATTCTATAATTATTGTGTTTACATTTGCATATCACACAGTTGAAGTGTAAAACTGAGATGATGATAAGAAAAGTGTGATCATACACGTAATCTTATTGTCAATATTGCCATGCTTATATGGTGTCAAACTCGAGACTAACTAGCATTTTCATTAGAACATTTTAGCAGGAAGATGTCACACAGTTTCATAGAGATGATCAGTGTATTCAATGTGTAATCAGTATCAGGAACTAATTAATGGCTACTATTAAGGACAATAACTTTTGTGAGTAAAAATCAAGATCTAATTTCAAAATCTATTGCAAGCCTTTTCAGATGTTTTTAAAGCGATTTATGGAATTGTGTTACGTTTGTAATCACAATCGCTTCTAGAACAAATTATGATTTGAATGATCAAGAAACATAATAAAAAACTTAGTAACTTAAATTAAAAGCTTGCCCTTGGCAATTCCAATTGACGTCAAATTAACGATATTTTTTATTCATTCAATAATTTTCAAATATTCAATCATATGTCAAATTGCAGAAGTGTGATGTTCGTGAATATATTCCAAATGTAAAATTAAAAGGGATTGCGTTAGATATTCTGCTCTTATTCTACCAGACTATAAATCAAACAGATAAAGAATAAATATATCCTTTGTTTGTGATTTATGTTTATTATCTTTTGTTAATTTGTACTTTAAATGCCCTTCAGTTTTCATTATTCCAACAGCATATGTTTTTTCTTATTTATTATAAATTTGTTTGATTGATTTTGACGACTTCCGTAGTCGAATAGCACGCCGGTTTCAAGGTTTCGCTATCTATGAGGTCCCGGGTTCGATTCCCGGTCTGGTTGTTGTAGAAAACGGAGCTTTCTATATTGTCTCGGGGTGTTGTGATACCTTTGATGTCTCAGACATTCCATAATACGGAGGTTTTAGCTACTCATAATGGAATCTGAGCATTATACATGATAAGAATTGCAAGAAATTAACTCTCTCGCAATGACTCTAGCTCTAGCTATAAAACATATTCTATTTTATTAATATCTTTAAAGAGTTCCGCTTAAGTTTTAAAGCGATTTCACTTGATTTAATTCGTAATAATTACATCTAAAACGATCTAAACTAACTTTCGATTTATCGTAATTTACTTGGCTCCTACGCTACCAGGTGGTACCAAGCTTTAGAAAGCTGCACATTTTTGTCAGCTCTATCTCAGTCTATACCTCTTGAATCACTCTTTATATTGACGAAAACCGCATTAAAATCCGTTGCGTTGTTCAAATGATCTCAGTGTAGAGACCGCGGGAAGTGACTTTGGTTTATATATTATATAGAAATTAATGTAATACTGTGTTTGTTCCAGATCTCCGTACAGCGTTCGGTCTACTTGACCGGGATAGCGACGGTCACGTGACACCAGAGGAGTTGCAGTTTATGCTGCGGAACCTTGGTATTGAAGTTAGCGATGACCTCATATCGGAACTTATCAAAGATGCCAGTAAAACTGGTAAGAAATACTTTCTCTTTATTATGAAACAGAAATTTCATTTTAATTTCTTTTTAACCACTTCAAAATCGAAAAGGAGGGGGTTGTATGTTAGGCGGCGATTATGGGTTGTATGTTAGGTGCGACTTCTCCGCGAGTTGTTGACCGATTATCGCAATGATTTTTTATTCGACAGATTAACGGACCGAGGTCCCATTAAAGTTTTATAGGCATCAGTAGTTTTCCTTTTATAACAAAAAATATGCTTTTCATCACATATCACCTAAATATTTGGATGATATGTTTATATCAGCGGAAAATGAATTTAAACTATGAAGTTTTTCATTTATTCATTAAAAACAAATTTGCTATAATATTATTGCTTCATCATAGTACAGTAAAAACTTTAAACCTCTTTTTACAAAAACTACGCGGTCGGCGGGGCATCTTTAGACAGAACATATATAAGAGAAAAAGTGTAGAATGCTACCAATTACTTTTTTATAATATAGCTTAGAAATAAAATACGTTAATATGAAATAGGAAATATTACACTCAACACTTTTACAATGTTCACTGAATCTTAAACAATAATTATAGAAGTGTTAAGTCAAACTTTTTTCAGTTCAAACTTTGTGTTTGAATGAATCATATTATGAAGAATCCGGATACTTCTATACTAATATTATAAAGAGGAAAGATTTGATTGTTTGTTTATTTTAATCGAATAGGTTACGAAATAACTGGAACGATTTTAAAAATTCTTTTCTCTACGGGAAGCTACTTACATCATATGCGGTGGACATAGGCTATATTAAATCCCGAAGAAACAGAAAATGGAGTTGGAAGTGTGTATACGGAATGAAAACGTTACCATAGTAACCAATTTTTACTATTCATTTTGTGGTTTTAATTATATCCGTGTCATGATACGAAACCTTATCCAAATTAATCATTAAATTAAACTTTTAGCCTGGAATTACATACTTTTTATCTCACTAAACAGTTCCTCAGGAATCACTTGTGCGAAGCCTTGATTTGAACAATAGAAGGTCCATTCGTGTGGGTTGGGAAAGCTATAATAGTTTACATATTTACCTGTAAGTAAATCAGACTCTTCGTGAATGTAAATATAATGTAAGATTTCTTCCTTTTTCGTAGACGATCAATTTTTGCCATAATTATGGTGGCATTGCGTGTCTGTAATTATTTAAATTCTCGTGTTTTATAGCCATTAGCGCTTTATCTCGATTTATCGGACTGAAATTCAGCGCTGTGGGTACAATTTGGCTAACAGCTAATGCTGAACCCTTTATTGTTTATAACATAATTACAATTTATGTTATCTTAACCAATTGCGTCATTCAAAATTACGTAAGTACTTAATAAGTTTATTAGAATATGACATCGAAAAGCTGTAGTAATTAAGTAGATATTATTTATTTAAATAAATTTCGTGGACATGTAATAATAGATCCTAAATATAAAATTTTCATGTAGTTTTTCTTTTTTATATTGAATAGATATACGTATTTACATTTCGTTCTTGAAATCGATATGGAACCAAGTTTATCCACGAATCTAAACAATAACAAATGAAGGAGAAGTAAACAATATCTTAACAGTTAATTAAAATCATTAAAAGGCTCGAACAAACTTTGAACTTATTTTTTTTATCTTTTGTAAATACCGCTGACAATGTTTATTTTTATAGGTACATTAGGGCCAGATTAACCAAGTAGCAAAAGTAGGAAATTGGAATCGCAATTGGAACCTCGCTATATTTCCAATAACATAAACTGACAAATAAAACTCAAGTCGCAGATTAATTGTGTTGTGTTATTCGGAAAGCAAAGGACGACATTTATGTTTCATGGGTCGAAAAAATTTGCTAATAAATTTGTGTGATCATATTTTTCTGAAGCATTTTATGGTATCCCATGGTATCTGCACTTTTATAAGTGCTTTACAATAGGTAATGTATCGGACATTATTTGAAGATCTTTTAATATACTTAAAAAGGGATGAACCAAAATAAGGCTTAGGTATTAGACATAATTTTGTAAATTATTGAAATATTTTAGTAGTGCGATACTTTCCAATTTCGTTGACATTGCCGGCATATGTTGACAAGATAAAAAAATTCACGCTCAATATTGTTATTGCAATAACAGCACATTTTATTTCATATAAATTCAAATATAGTCTTGTAATCCATACATGTTTACCGCTGGGAGCGATCCAAACGAGAAATTGTGACAAATACAACGAAATATCTCAAACTACTAAATATCCAAAGTATATAAACAAAAGCAATGAGTCTAATTTTAATTCCAACTTCTTAAATGTATTGCAGCTTTCCTATTTCACAACTGACACGTAACACTCGTAGTAATAAGAAATCATTATGAGTGGTTGCGCATATTTGAAACATGAATTCATTCCTCTTTCTAAAAAATTCAGTTCGTATTTAAAAGAAACGCGATGGATTCGCTGGTCACGAGGCAGTAAACAATCCAGGAAGTTCAAGGGATATGTGAAGGTCACCAAAACAGTTTAGCTAATGAACGCCAGCCGGCACGAGATCCGCGGGTCAATTTGTGAACTCAACCGTGTCGATATAAACGACAAGTATATTTTATCATCGAAATAGCTTTTCATAAATAAATGTCCTTGCTTCTTAAGAAATTGTCAGTGCCCCCCTCCCCGCCCTCCTTTGCATCGGTTTGAATTCATGCCAAAAATGAGCACATGTTTTTCTCGTTATAAAGATCACAGATTCACAGTGCAGCGCATCAAAGAGCAAACATACTCATAATAGGTTATTGTATATATCTAAGATTTCTGATATGCGTGAGGACAGAGACGCGTCAACTTTCTAAAATTAACTTGTTTACATTTACGTTAAAATCGTATCCGTATTGTTGTTGGCATGGAGCTGAAAAAGCGTAATTCAATTTTTTTTAGGCAATGGAAAATTCACAGGTGAATTGTTTATTTCGGAAATTTCAGAACGTGAAAATATACATTATTTCTATCTGTAAAAGAATCTTTTAAAAGTCACGTGATCTGTTTATGTGTAGTCAGCTGATATGTTATCTGATACCGACAGTTCGATGGCCGAAAAATATACATTTCGACACTCCAATGCGCCATCAATCAACATATGGTTCTAAAAATAGTTTTCGGAGAATTATTCTGTTTTGTTTGTATTTATTTTCATTTCATTACAATTATATCTACTTTATATTCAATACAAATAAAGTAGAGACTGGAGAAAATATGCTTAAGTAATATTTAGCATATTTTCTCCAGTCATCATAAATTTTCAATCGCACAATTCAAATTATGGCTATTAAAGGGTTCCAGACATTGTTAAAAAGAAAAAGCAAGCAAGAGGTATTTTTACTTAATTATCATTAGATTAATAGTGAACACGATAAAAAGCCAGTAAGGTAAGCACGTAGAGTGGGCGGATATTGGAGGGCAACGCGACCTCGGTGATGGCAAGGTTACGACGTTAACAACGCGATACTGTTTGATACTGATGTTCATTTACTTGAGCACTTACAAACTATTCCATTAAACCTTATATCAAATATATTTCGTCTGATTACTTAATAAAAGAACTTCAATTAGAAACTACATGCAAAAAAGATTTTATTTTAATTTGTTTCTTAGTGTTTTTGTACCACACATTGTACGTGCTGGGGGCTTGAAGCATTCGTGTCTCCAAATCAGGATTTGTAATCAGGAAACCGTATATTATAGAAAACGAATGTGTAGACAGTACACCATAATACTTTCTATCGAAAATATTTCTCGTCTGATTTCTTTGATGAATAATTGTAACAAACTTCAAATATAAATGACATGCAAAAGAGATTTTACTAAAGGTGATTTTGTTACCTGTGGATGTTGAATGGATGAATGGATGCTTGCAGCCGAATTAGCCTGGCCACACACATCTCTGTGTTCGGTTTCCTGATCAGGAATTCCGATTCGTTGACCCAAACGCGCGCCTTTGATGTGAAAGTCAGGTTTTCCGAACTGAAAATGAAACAAACGTGTGCGGAAACAGCACACGGAAAACGAATACGTGCAGTCAGCAGGGTCTAGGTAACTGTCTAGGACGCTCGCTTCAAGCGGCATGGCATGGTAAACAGATTGTTTGTTATGTTATTTGAACCTCAGAAAGTCAGTACATACCTTAAAAAAATACTTTTGTTCTCTGAACACGAGTCGTGTAATCATTATTTTATTACATGTATGTGATTTTTTGTGGGCACCATTTCATTGTTTTGTGTTGCACTGAGCCGGCGGGCGCTGGCGGCCAGGGCTTATAATCTACATTTGATTTTATTACTTTTCAAATGTCAAAGAATACATGTCTGATTATGGATTTCGGGGTAGAGTCATGAGCCCGCCCTATCTAACATCGCACAAGGCAGCGTAATCGCCACTCCAACAGCTTTGGAATAAAATTAGATTAGCACGTGGACACGCTATGTACTGAAGTGCCAACTGTTCTGAAAGCAGTTTATACTTACAGATTATTTTATTCATATAAACATTATGTTATATCCCGTTGCTGTCCTGCTAAATTAATAAAATTTGGCATAATAACTTCAACTACATCACGTCACGCATCACGTTTTGTCTAAAATTATCGTTTAGGGGATAAAAGTGCATCTATAGTTACACTTTTTTTAATTAACAAATAGCAATCGAGGCTAATTTTTCAACGAAATTAAATTAACAACCAACTAAATTAACTTTAAAATAAGTCCGTTTATGATTATAAACGAAACAGATTTGAATCGTTACATTAAAAACTATATCGGAGGTTCAGCTTACATAATGAATGATATGAATATACGCTCGGTGGCGTAGTGGATAAGCGCCGCGGCCCGCGATCGTTGTCGTTAAGCAACTTTCGCAAGGCTCGGTCACGGGATGGGTGACCAAAAAATTATTATCTCGAGCTACTCCGTGCTTCGGAAGGCACGTTAAGCCGTTGGTCCCGGCTGCATTTGCAGTCGTTAATACCCTCCAATCCGCATTGGGCCAGCGTGGAGGGTCATGGCCCATCCTCCTTAACCATCCATAAGGAAGGCCTGAGCCCCTGCAGTGGGGACGTAAAAGGGCTGATGATGATGATGATGAATGATATGATGTTATAAACTGTCGATGCCTATTTATACATATTTTATACGGTAGTATAAATGAAGGTAGGTACACCAAAAAGTTTATGTTTATAGGTAGAGTACTCGTTAAATAAGATTAGCGTGTTTTTGTTGTTTCCACCGTCGATAATGTTCGTCAAAATTAGCTGCAGCTACGTATTATTTTTGGTTGTTTCTTAATATATAATTTCTTTGTTTTACAAACTGTAATAAGACATATATAACTATGCATATTTTGTATGCAATGGCTATTTTATGTATAGCGACGTGCAAAACCTATGATTATCTTTTTGAATTCTACTTTTACACGTTACTTAACGATAATATGTCAATCTATTTAGATCATAACTGTATTTTTAATTTAGATTATAATTCTGTACAAAATTATTTCATAATCTTTTGATATCTTTTGTTTATTGCGTAGGTGCAAACACAAACCACTTGTTGGTGACCCGCTACGCAAACCTTTTTGGCATGTTTATTTTCTAAATTCTCAGTTTTTAAATAAATGTCATTCATACTATTAGACTTACAAAACAAATGTAAAACTTCAGTGTGAGAATAACAATATACGGCTGTGACGGTGTTTTCGTGGTTTCCTTTAAAATTACCTGGTAGCCAGATCTCTATCTTTTTCACCACTAAATAAACTTTAATACAAATTTTATGTTTCCATTAGCACTATTTAAGAAAAATAAGTACCTAACTAAATCTGAATAGTACCTACCTAGTTTCTGAGAAAGGTGCGAAGTAACAATCTACATAAATCTATATTTGGAACATATATTTTTTTATTGATTTTTTTGGTAATATCTTACTACCTTTTTAACCAACTTCAAAATTGAAAAGAAGGGGGAATTCTATTATAGACCGATTTTCAAAATTCTTTGATATCTCGTGGAATTGATTGCTGCTGCTAAAAACTGGCCAATTAGTGCAGTGAGGATTGGTGGGTGTTAACAACAGATGCAGCCAGGACTAACTGGTTAATGGGCCTTCCGGAACAAGGAAGAGCTCGAGATAGTTAATTTTAATTTTCTCCAAAGTAATATTTTAATTTTTCGCGCATCCTGTGGCTGGACCTTGCGACCGGACGTCATCATCGAGCTTCACGCACACTAAAAGTAATATCTGATCACTAAAAATATAGAAATAAAATCTTTTGTAAAAAAAAAATAACATGGTTACGTGAAAAATAATTCTCAATTTAAAGACGGTTTATATGTTCATGTAAATTCTTTTCAAGTCGGGTGGTTAATCATAACAAACTACACAAAATATCTGTCCGACTTCATATTGCATATTGTATTAATGTGTCAGTGAGTGTGAGTATTATTTACCGGAATTTTAATATATTTACAAAAAAAAAAATTACCTGTTTAGTTATTTCTGATATTGTAATGGAAAGTGACTTCATAGTCTAAAGAAGTAATTTCCAATTGGATTTCTAGTATGAGATAAAATAGAGAAAAAGCAGGCTTTTTTTTCCCAGTTTACCTCAATAGTTAAGCTCTCCCACCGTAGATTTGGGAATCTATGGTCTAACTTTCGACTTTCACTAGTGCTTGTAACAGCCTGGACTGAATGTTTATTTATTTTGATTGAATAAGCACATTGAACTTGAAAAAAGGAACGTATGAACAGCCTATTTTCACGCTTTGAAGGACGTTTTTCTTTCATTTTTTTTTCCAATAACATAATCTACGCTAATTTTTAAATGAAAAAGCGTTTGCTTGTTTGTCTTACTTTGACGTCACAACGGAGAAACATTATGGTTTTGCTTGGTGATATTTTGAAGCAGAGTGACATACGGTCAGTTTCCGAATTGAGAAAAGTATGAAATCTCAACGGATTATTCTCAATAACTTAAATTTTTCACGTTTCACAAGTCAAAAAGTCCTAGTTATCATATCTATCAAACTACCGTCAACAGTCATTAAAAAATCTAAAATCTGTTCAAGTGATGTTTAAATACAGTTTGAGACTTTCATAATTCAGAAAACGGGTGCGTGACTCCTTTTTATTTCGAAGAAAGTTCTTTATTAATGGCTGTTTAATATTATGACGTTGTAAATTAATACAATATGCACTGTTTTGGTAAATATTAATTAACGTAAAGCTAATGTCGTATAATATACGTTGTATACCTAAGTAGGGGTACTGACGTCACTGCTAACGATCCTACACAGCCAGTTAATTAAGATTTAATGACGGCCACCTTTTCACTGATTGTCGCGTTAAATTTTGTTACATATAACTTGGGTGAGGTTTCATTATAATACACACTTTGTCACGCTAATGTTCTTTATCCGGCTTATGGGCTTATGTATTAAGTTATTAGCCCTTCTCATCGTATTCATTCGGTAATGCAGAGATTCTACTGAAGAATTATGCAGAAACATAAAAATGTTTTATAGCGACAGAGCTTCTAAAGAGAAATTAAAACAGATTTAAAAATACTACTTTTGCAAGACGGTTGCAAAAGCTTCTTTGATTGACCTTCCTTTAGAATGTAGCGAATTTTATATGAAAACCTTTTTAATATAAACTTTAAAAAACAAGAGTAATAGAGTTTTAAATACAGGAGACTCCATCAAAATCGGATCAGTTATACTTTTTCTTAATGCAGATACTTTATTTGTCAGTCATTTCAAGAGTACCGTGAGTCTAGATGTGCGAGAGTGTTAAATATTTATGCTTTTCTAATAATAATTCAGTATGTTTTATATATTACTTTTGAATTTGATACCACTAATATAACAGATAAATAAATACTCGGGTCGAATTTGAAGGAGAGGAGCTATAGATGTACGTATTGTTTGTTTCAGGGAACGGGTTAATAGACGAAAATGATTTCATGCAATGGGTGACGAAGATACAGGCGTTACAAGGGATGGATGTCAGTAATAGTGGAGGGGACACCGAAGAAGAAATCACCAGAGACCTGTTAGCAGCGTTCAAGTAAGACATTTCAGTGTACATATAATATAAGAATGTTTGAAAACGACGTTACATTTAAACGATGTTTTCGTCTGCATTTTATATTCTTATGCCTTGCCTACCTATTGTTACTTATCGGCAAAACTCCAAAGTAATATTTTATTTAACAAATACCGGTGATAAGATTGGAAACTATTATTTTTGAATTATTTGAAATTATGTTAATTTGTTAGGTACTTCATTTAAATGTAACGGTGCCTGTTCCATTCACTATAACATTAGAAAAAAAGAGGGTCATAGAAGCAGCAGTGCAGAACATTTTATTTTCAAGATAAATTTAAAAAATCTATATTAGTTTTGTTGAAACTTTGAACGTTAGGTAGTCTGAAAGAGCTGAGCAATTTTCCATTTTTTATGATACCTTGGGGATTGAGATGAGGCCAGCATTTTATAAATTCGTCTTTTAGTCCCAAGCCAACATGGAACTAAAACTGAAACTATCTATGTGTTTTGATAAATTCTAATTGTAAGTGTAATAAGTTAGACTATTGATGAAGACATTGGAAAAAGTCCCTGAAATGTCAAAGTTTGAGGGTAGATATGGGGGCTTAGAGCATAATTTTTGTAGGCCACTCGGGCCTGTACCGGCATCGTCCATATTTGCCAAAACTTAACAACAAAAATAAAACAATAACATCACGGAAAACGGCTAAACAACAAGAAAGGTAGTAGCATTCACAATGGATGACAATCCCAGATTACGATTTTAACAATTATGAATAAATAATAGTCTGACAAAATTAAAAAGCTGTACTACCGAAACGCTTGAAGGGGTTAGGCAACGTTTTAAATTTGGTAGAGTTAAAGTGACCAGAGAATCGTGCCGAAACTATCCAACCCTGCTTCTTTAGGTTCTTTGCGATGGACACTTTTTATTGTAATACTTATTAAATCATTTAAGTTAGTCATATACTCATAAATTTGTTTAATAGTTAGCTTAAATGACAACAATTACGTATAGCAGCTGATATTTAAGTGAATATGTAGCAAATTAGCCGTCAGTCTTAAAAGTAACATGATTATTGATATTTTGTCACAAAGTATACCATAAAAAGAACCTTATTTCACTTCTGTCTAATTACTAGACTGCAAAAAGTCAATAACTCATTCGGGGGGTCTTTGTGTGCACTTCTACAATAAGGTCCCAAGCAAAATACAATAATTAGATAACATGCAGTTTAAATCTACTATTAAAAAAGCTTATTACAAGGTATCCGATTATAACAGATAAGAATGCTTGGAATTAAGATGGTCCAGCAATTGGATAGGTGATTTCTTCTAAACTTATTATATCTCAAAAATTATCTTGTTGCCATTATTATTAAATTATTATGTAAGACCATATAAGACCATCGTTTTTTTTCTCTCTTTTTATCAAAATCAAAATCAAAATCATTTATTCAGTCTAGGCTGTTACAAGCACTTGTGAAAGTCGAGAGCTACGCCAACGGTTCGTAAATCTACGGCGGGAGACCTTGTACCGAGAAGAACCGGCAAGAAACTCGGCAAGGGCTGCTTTTTTCTCCCTGTTTTATTTCATACAGAGCGTCAAGATTGAAAAATGACTTCATTAAAATTTGAAGTCACTTTCCATTACAATATAACACAATATTAAGAGTAAAACAGTATTTTCGTCAATCCAATCACATTTGTAGCCAAAGAAGCTCACCGATTAACAATTTAATATATATGAAAAATGAGCCATATTTAACTCCAAGTAGTTTTGTCGTTTAAATATTCATTAATAGTATAATATCCTTTACTGAGTAGACAATTCTTAACATGGGTTTTAAACTTAGGTAATGGTAAATTTAAAATTTCCATAGGAATTTTGTTATAGTAGTGTACACCTTGACCCATAAATGACGATAGAACCTTCTTTAGCCTGCATGACGGCAAAACAAGTTTATCTTTGTTTCTAGTATTAAAATTGTGTACATGACTATGTTTAATATAATTGTTTATATTGTTTCTTACATAAAGTATACAATTATATATGAATTGGGAGGCCACTGTTAATATCCCAATTTCTTTGAATTTATCTCTAAGTGACGTTCTTGAACCCAATTGATAAATGGCCCTTACTGCTCTTTTTTGTAAAATAAATATAGACTCTATATCTGCAGCCATACCCCACATCAGAATGCCATATGACATAACGCTATGGAAATAACTAAAGTATACTGTCCTAGCGGTATCTACATCTGTAAGTTGCCTAATTTTTTTTATTGCAAAGGCAGCTGAACTTAGTTTTCCTGCCAATAATGAAATGTGAGGATGCCATTGCAATTTAGAATCCAGCGTTACACCTAAGAAGATTGTTGAATCAACCAACTCGACACGGTTTTTGTGAATGTCATTGCTCGTTCTTTTTATCAGCCAATAGACGTCCTGAACTAGTGGTAGGGAAAAGAATGTTGGACGATTCAAAATCAAAAGTACTTTTAAGAAGTCTATTTGAATAAAGATTATTTTGACTTTGAAAGTTACGTTTTTAAGTTGAGGGTAGGTGGGTAAAAAAAGAAATTCCATTTAGTTTGTCACTCAGTCAGATAATACAAAAATATTAGTAACGTATTTTTTTTGCTTTAATCTAACAAGTTGTTGAGGAGTGGGGGTTCGCTACGTCACAACTACGTAAAAATGTGCAAAGGCGTGACGTGATGCGACATTTAAATTCAATGTATCGCCGTAATCAATTGATTACGCAACAAGCACCCGTTTAATATTCGTCAATAACTTACCTGACGGACTTCAATAACATTCGTACGCCAATGTCAAGTGGCCAATGTCAATGTATATTTTCCACTAGAGGACTCGACCGAGCTTAGTAACCATTAAAGTCGTGTATACGATTATAGAGTATTCGACCGTGATGACAACGGGTACATAACACGGGACGAGTTGCGATCGGCGCTGGAGATGATCGGTGAGCCGGTGACCGATGCGCAGCTCAATCAGGTGCTGGCACTCGGCGACATTGACCACGACGGTCGTATCGACTATGAAGGTATATACTTATATTGATAATAAAACTATATAAATAGGTTTTACTGTCGTCGTCGTCGGCAACACATATCATTAAGTAGAAAAGTTTAATTGATTTAATTTTTTTTTTTATTTGCATGGAATATGCTTCGAAACTACTGCACCGATTTTAAAAATTCTTTCACTTTAGTGACATAGGCTTATTAACTTATAATGGCGAAGTTGCGGGAAAATTTTTGTAGTATATTTAGAAGCGGTGTTTATATTGTTCGCGCCACATGAGGAATTGCATATACATATTAGCTCGACATAAGAGACGGGACTAATATGATCACTCCCGTTGGTACTAAATATATGAAACCAAACCTGGGGCTGCAGTGTCGACAGTGTTTGCAATCGTAATATTAGCGAATCCGATCGTAAAGTCATAGCGTTAGTAATTTAACCATTATTTCAAGTTTTTACCGTTAAGTTTTTGATTACGTACCGAAAACAATCATCAAATTAGCGATATTCGTTTTCGTTTCCTAGCAACAGCTCGGTCAGTAAACTCTACGATCGCTACTTAAAGATTGCTTTCAATGCACTGGGCATGCAGTCACGACAAAGGTAGCATGCAAACTCATTGAACGCGAATAGCATTCATATCGAGCACAAACGATGTTTTTTGGATATTTTTTTTTCGAAAGTAAGTGACACAGACACATATTTTAGGTATACAGAAAAAAAGGCGTCAGTCATTTTTGTGCTGATAATACAGATAATCATATATTCATATCAAACGTAGAGGCATGTTTGGTGTGAACGTAAAGAATAAAACTGCGTAGCGCTTGCTCAGTCACTGTCAGTTTAGTTTGAATGCAACCTTAATGTTGTTCTGGTATCCTTAATATATACAAAATTCTTTTTAAAATAATAATAGTTTTACATTTAATTTATTAGTTACTAACACATAAATGATATTTTAAAAGTAGTAAATCAGTTTGTGTATCGCTAAAAATCGGTCTTCAACCTGTTGCTAGAAGGTTAAAAAGAGAAAACGAACGTGAAATATGATTTAAATAAACTAATGAGCAAAATATAAAATATATAAATAGTATTTTTTTATTGCTTTGGCTCAGCTCTGAATTATCAAATCAAAAACTGATTTTGTCGTAATTTTTATTTATGGAATTGGGATGTAGACGATGTTTATATATTTTTATTTTATATGAAATATATGTTAAAAAAATTATGTAAAAAATTATCCCTCATCAATATTAATTAAAAATCTAAAAATGAAATTCATGTTAAAATTTCCCGCATAAACTCTAACCTCTGTCATGGCATCGATGTGACGTCACAGCCCTCTGAAACTAACTTATTCAATAACAAAATTTCTTACCATGTACAGTTATGCTATGTATGTTAATATCAAAGTCAAATTTATGACATCTTCCATAGAGGATTGTGACGTCACGCGCTGTTTGCAGTCACGTGACAGCGAGTATAAAATAAGTGTATTTTCATTATTAATTTAAATAATATCATAAACAAAATAAGCATGGTAGTGTGATTATCGGAAATAGTATATTAAAAACTACCAGAAAAACGTTTACTGTTTACACCCTTATTACTACGATGCTACATCGTAGCACTTGCAGTTTTGACTAATTAATTATATTGATTTCTTTTCAGAATTCGTCAAGATGCTGCTGTAGCGTGTTAACATATGTACCTCAGTGAGAAAACCTCATTAGATGTAATAATAATGTATTAAAGACAAGTGGTCGTAGAGCCGACAGTATTCGTGACTGATAAGATCTGTACCAATAACGTAGCTTCTGCTATAATCACGTTATTTGAGCTTGGGTATAAATAAAACTGCGAATCGCAATTTCGTTCGGCAATTGGTGTCCGTCCCTTCATAATTCTGATGTGAATCAATTGGCTTGACTTCTTGCCAACTTGCGATCTCTCAGATTTTCATAATACTACGTCGCATCACAGTTTTATTTTGAAGCCCTTAACCTAGAATAAATTGCTATATATACAGTAATATAATTCTAATAACTAATACATTGAAAATGCTACAATTCGTACAGACACAGGTTGGCAGATAATACGCATCGCTAGAGAACTCTTCCAATCAGGTATATTTGATATGAAAGACAGTAACTAATATAACAATTTGTATATTAATCCGTAAATAATAAATATCTATGAGTTATGTTTTTACATCTAGATTAGATATATTTATTGAAATACATAAAGCATAGGTAAATAATATAATAATATCAAAGATTACTTACTTCAGTTATTAATTTATGATGTATATAAAATTTATTATTTAATTAATAACTAATGTAGGATTAATAATAAAAATAAAATTGAAACTCCACTTGATGATGAAGTATACATAATTTGTATTTTGGCTACATGAATAACATTACTAGATAATGTTCAAAGAAACCATAATTTACGCGGAGCTCAAATCCTACATTGGAATAAATTATTTCGATTGTAGTTAAACGAACATGAAGCTAATACTAGTTTATGAACGCTTAGGTATATAAATATGAGAACAGATCAAATTATCGTGAAACAAGAGAATGACATCTGACTTAAAAATATTGTGTTATAATAATAAGAAATACGTCAGTACACTAATGTACTCGATTGCAAAGTTATTTTAATTAATAAGCCATATGATTGCAATTAATAAGGTTGTGAACAGTAATTTATTTATCGTGCACAGATAAATTTTATCAGCGCTTTCAAAGTTTTTTTTAAGAACAATCAAACGTGTATTATAGAGTAATTAAGTATTTATATACTGTTGTTGTTGTTTTTATTTGTGTCTTTACAAATGTAAATATTAATAAGATATTTATCAACTACATGATATTTAAAATGTAGTGTTGTAGTATTAAAATTCCGTCTGTTACATATAATATATAAAATATTTAAAATAAAGAGAGATTATAAGTTCTAGAACTGGATATGGAATCTGTGACATCAACTATATTAAAGATATTTTTAAATCGTATTATAAACAATTTAAACTACTTTAAATCTTAAGCAAACAGTGATGCAAACTAGTAAGATCTCGGATTTTATCAATACTTAGGTGAAATTTACATTTGTAATTGACCCAAATAGCATGTTAGTAGTAGTCATTGAGCCTTTGAAAGGCAAGTGATTTGGAATGAAAGTGATTTAATAAAAACATGAATTTGTTATTTATTTTCATTGTTGTTTTACTGGTTATCAAACTCATTTATATCATTACCCATCATATCTTATCTTAAATCTATAATCAATCTTGCTATTGAAGTTATTAATTTATTTTATTCAACCAGGCTATTAGTGCAATATTCTGTGCCATAGGACCAGACACAAAGTGAGAAAAAGAATATTAAGTGAAGAAAACGTTGTATTCGAGTATTAATAACTGTATGAGAGAATAGGAAAAAAGCTATGTTATGGTCATTAATTAACACACACACTAACGCCCATTTAAATTTTCATTAGTTTCAAGCGGAGGACGGAGGATTTCCTTTAAAATCGTTATTAGCAAATAATGACATTGAACTCTAATGAATGTTCTAAATTTGAAAATTTGTATAGTTATAAATAATGTCGCTTTAAACTAATGATAACTTCAAAGGACGTTTGTGCAAATAAGTGTTAAGGTACAATAAGCCAGTTGCACAAACATCCTTAAAATTATTCATCGGTTTAAAGCGACATTACCCATACAACTTTGACATTCATTAGAACTTAAAGGCGTCATTAAACCTTAATGGACGTTTGTACAATTGACAAATTGTCACTTTAAACAATACAATAGGATAATTATGGATATACTGGACTCAAAGGCTTTGTTTGTGCGAGGTTCTTCATATTATTTGTATTCGCAATTTTAACGATTCACTAAGTAATGGTTCTCATATAAAATTATCAGGTAGAAAACAGGCATAAGCTAATAAAACTATTGCATGGATATAGAAAACTTTTAATTTGAAGGGAACTTTCAAAGATTGTTTCGCGTTAACAATCTTAACGGATTTGTTGAATTCTATGTTTTATAGTCGAAGTTAGGTATCTATCATAATTATTAAAATATATGACGGAACATTTTTAATTTTGAATAAGTCATGAGATTTTGACATTTTTATACTAGTATAAAATTAATCTACTCCATTTAAGAATTTGCCGACAAAGTCGCAGGGCTGTGGTTCAAGAGTGGGTTTCCAATTTGCCATGATGTGACCTTTTTGCTGCCAGTTGTGAGTTACCTCATTTAGCTCCATGTAACCCTGTCATACAAAATGTGCTACAGGTATACCTACATGTTAATTTACAAGATTTAGGGGTAATGATTTAAGAGCATAATAAAAGCTAATGTTCTTTACGTGCTTACAAAACTTTGGCACCACATACCAAAAACCTGGAACTTCGTAGAAAAAAGAACTTGTTTTTATAACTTTTTTTTTCTATATAAGCAAAATATAATAAATTCAAGATTTACAAAAGTGTAAATCAAAAACCCTTGAATTTACAGTATGGGTGGTATTCAATATATACCTACTTATTTGCTTTACATAAAACGTCGTGTATCTCGCACTATGTTGTTCCTCATTTCTCCAAAAATATAAATAAAATATTTTTTTTATTATTATTTTTTCTAGTATTCAATACACTACACCCTTATTGGTTCATTTAATTAGTAAAATTAATAATCGTTCAAATTATAATTATTTGCAAGTTAAAGAGTTAATGGTGGCACTTCTGTTGGCAATTCGCAAGAAGCTTCTATTTCTTCTTCTTTTATTAATCTGCGCGTATCGCGATTTCACTATTCTGCGATTAATTAAATTAAATTGAATTAATTTCTTAATTTTTGAACAGTTTTTGCTCCCGCGGGAAGTTTAAAAATGCTTATTGTTTTCGTGTTTGCGTATTTGTCATATTTGACAATCAACTGCCATACTGCATTATACTCACTTGAAAAAACATTGGTTGTTTTATTTGTTAATTTACCAATAAAAACACGGGTTAGCTTCTTGAGAAAAGCAAAGGAAGTGCCACCAGAACAACGTATAATTTGCCACACTGTGATCATTGCACGAGATAAGATTGCCGGCCGCTGGTATAAAGATGTACGAATAAAAACATATTTTTTTAGACACCTACCTCTCTACACGGCTCATTTTTAAGCATATCTTTAATTTGAAGAGGTGCATCAGAAAAGTTAATATATTATATACTTATGTGCAGTTACGTTTTAAAAATTTCATAACCTGAATTGTCTCTGAAAACAAATAAATATTAGTAAACTTGCAAATCCATTAGACATCAAGCCGCGTGCATACGCGACATTGATTCTTTCTATGTTTACGAAACAAGATAGGAATAACGTTTTCATTCATAATTTAACTAATTAAGTCAAATTTTGGGACACAAATAACCAATAATTTCATAAATATTATCATTATATAATTTATTACTGCACATACTTGTTAAGTGTAAGCGACGTAAAAATTAATTTTTTTTTTGGAAAATTAACTTTGTATATCTGATTAACACCAAGCCCAAAGATATATTATTATACGTCTCGCAAGTAAAAACTACAAACTAAAATTATGAAAAGTAGTACGCATACCTTGAGAACTAAGATGTCAATGACCCTTATATCAGTTACACAGGCATTTTTGTAAAACATCTCCCTTATTTTAAAACGAACATGGTTTTCTGATTTCGGTATGTCGAAATACTTGACTGTGAAATAAACAATTAACTTTGCTTAAGCATCATATAGCTAGCTGGGTCACAGTAAATAAAAGTGGGGTACAAACGTAAGACATGTTTGTGGATCTCATTATTTTTTTAAACTGTATTATATTGAGATTTTGGCGGCATTTTGTCCCCACGCACCTAAATCCAGCCCTACGTATTACAGACACTCGTATTATAAAAAAGCGTGTTATGGTCACTTCTACCCACACTTCTGTTTTTTTTTTATTATAGCGAGATATACAGAGTAAATATATAACTCTGTCTCTCTGTGTTCCTTTTACGTCTTTCATGCCTAAACTAAACCAATTTTGTATAGGATAGTTTTTAGGGCGATAATAATTCAATTTCTGCGAGTGAAGCTTTATCTTTAATGAAAAGATGCTGAAATGTCCATCACCTTCACCACTCCACCAATCACAATACAAAGTGGGACTCTAACCCACAATCTTGCGCAATCAGGGAGACTGCTTTCAAAGCACTTTTCATTAAAAATTCTTCGGTATAGCATTGTGAATACATAATTGATCAAATACAATAATTACCGACTGAAAGAAGTCCGAGATCAACCTTATTACAAATACTCACGAATGTAGGGAATGTAGCGATAAGAAGCCCTGTAAAGCCCTATAGCTCTTCTGCGTGCCTCGCAGAAATCGGTCGACATCACAGGCTTCACTTGCCTGCAGGCCGCCTTTATGGTTTGAAAACGACCTGCCATTATTTTATTTGTTCAATTACTTTCAAACAAATTGAATATTTCCTACGACATTTAAAAATGTTCAATTTATTTGACAAATGCCGTCATCAATCGCCAACTCTATGGTCAATAACAATCAAAGAGTTATCACAATCAATCAATAAAAAAATATGGAATTTGTTCGTATCATTCTTACAGTTTTGTTGTTAAAATCATATCTAGAAAATTATTTATTTTCTATTTCCACCAGCGTCTTCGCCCGCGTCGTCTTGTATTATACATAAAAACCTTCCTTTTGAATCGCCCTATCTAGGAAAAAACCCGCATCAGAATCCGTTGCGTAGTTTTAAAGATTTAAGCACACATAGGATTTAATTATACATAGGGACAGTGAAAGCGACTTTGGTTTATACTATGTAGTGATGATGCTGCGATGCATTTCGTAAATACCTGACGCACACGACACCACTGCAGATTTTTAAGAGAGCGTGATTACTCTAGGTACTTAATAAGTAATATATTTTAGTAAAACTTTTAAAAGGTTTTTTCAGTAAATGAGCAAGTATTAAGAAAAAAGAAAGCACTAAAAAGCACCTCACTAGGTGGCGACTCTACCAAAATTTGATTTTTGCACGAAACGAATGGACCGTAGTCATTTCTGAGTTCGATTCCCGGTCGGAAGACTGTAGAAAAACTTTCAAATTTGTCAAGGGTCAGAGGCGGATGAGGTACTAGCCGCCATTTTTTTGGCTTTCATCATTTAGACACCGGAAGTGCATATGAATTGACTTTCTTGACAAAGTTTATTGAAATAAACCTGAAATTATAGCCTATAATACCCACATATGCTGTAGCTTCCTGAAGGTTTAAAACTCCATGGTTTTAATTCCGCCAGACGAAGCTGAAACGCTGGACCTTTTGAATGCTCTAAGAGTGACTGTGCCACAGGCTGGGATTACATTCCTGTAAAACTACTCAAAATGGCAAAACATGTCTTAGTTCATCGTCTTTCAGTTCTTTTTGAATAATGCGAAGACGCAGTGGGTCGAATGGTTGATCATATAGCGAAGCAACTCGATAGTAAAAACACTGTATTGGCATATTTTTTGGCCTTGCTAAAGCATTAGACAATTTTCCTCCTCAAACTCGTGGAAAAGTTGATTGTCTAAAAATTCCGAGCATATGACCTCTAACATTGGTGTTAGAGGTCATATGCTCGGAATTTTTAGACTTTTTAACCGTTCGGTGTCAACAAGTTAAGATTAACAAATCTATTAATGAAGAGGCTCCAGTAGTGTACGGCGTTCCTTAAGGAAGTATACTTGGTCCAAAACCTCTTCCTGGTATATGTCAATTACTCAGGGGCGAATCGTGAATTTGTGGTGCCATGGGCTGATATTAATCAGAAGCCTATTCATTACATAAGTAATTATACTTAATTTTGTTAAGAGTTTGTTTTCAATAATATCTAATGCAAAAGTGCCGTATCGTATATTATTTTTATGGGGGCTTAAGGGCCCTTTCTAACTGCGGGGTCCTGGGCTTAAGCCCGTTAAGCCCTTAGGTAGATCCGCCCCTGCAATGACTTATGTCAAATGACATTACGTAATGGTAAGATTTTTACGCTGATGACACCGCTTTGATATTTCAATGACTTGGATTATTCCAAGTGTCACCTTAATACAATAAGAAAGAAGAGACTGAGCTAAAGCATAGTAAACAGATCGCAAAAGATCAAAATCAACCACACACCTCAGTCTTTTAACAACCCAAATATGTTTTCTTATATGAGTAGCAGTGAGATCGATATGTGAATTAAACTTATTTGAACTCTGATATTGTTGGATATTGCCAGGTATTAAAAATTTGCACCTTTTACTAGATCACATGAATGAGCTTTCATGTATAAGTCAGAACCAATTTTGCTATCGAGAACTGTAGATATTTAGATTTGGCTATATTAAGAGTGAGGTAATTATCTCCCAGCCAGCGAAATTTCAGCGACCAATTTGACGCAAATTGGTCGCTTATACATGAAAGCTCATTCATGTGATCTAGTAAAAGGTGCAAATTTTTAATACCTGGCAATATCCAACAATATCAGAGTTCAAATAAGTTTAATTCACATATCGATCTCACTGCTACTCATATAAGAAAACATATTTGGGTTGTTAAAAGACTGAGGTGTGTGGTTGATTTTGATCTTTTGCGATCTGTTTACTATGCTTTAGCTCAGTCTCTTCTTTCTTATTGTATTAAGGTGACACATGCAAGACATTTTTGATAAACCTAGAAAGAGCACAGAGATCACTCTTAAAAATGATCACTTTAAGTGCTTATAAGCAACCAACTAGTTTAAAAAAAAAGTGTTAACTGTCAAACAACTGTACATACAACAAATGATACATAGGCAACATAGTCACACCATATGATAAAGCTACTTCTAACAGCAAACGTACTACTACTAACATATGCTTACCTCTAAGATGTCGGACAGTCTTCGCTAGGCGTTGCAAACAAACAAGTTAATCCAAAAAACAAACAAGTTAATAAAAATAATCAATATACATCCTCTTTCAACAAGTTACAAAATTAGCATTAACTCGTGATTATAATGATACAGAAGCATTATTTAATAAATAGAACTAATATAAACTAAGCTATTAGCTTGTGTTTCCCTCAAACGGGCTTTTAATCTTGGTGTTTTTCAAAGTATAACATACCAAACATTCATACACACAAACAATTGCGCACAAACACTCATATACACAAATATACAAATTTAACACGATCACACTTATTAAGCTCCATGGTTTTAATTTCCATTTTTTCCTCTTGTAATGAATGATACAAAATTTATATCACGTGGATTGCTATGTTCTCATAAGATGGTAGAGTAAACTGGTGTCCGCAACCCAGGTTTTATATAACTACCTCAGATGTCAGGGTGCTTATTGTATCTATCCTTGTATATTTGTAAAATAAAGAAATTATTATAGATTACCTTTAAGACCCTATCTTCATTGAAGTTTAGGAGTTTAAAGATTTATATGTTGTGCTAAAAAGATGTCTATTTGTGTATTAGATTTTACACATACAATACATACATAAATTGATAATATGAAAAATTATATTCCTAGGGGATTATACTATGCTATATTTTAAATAGAATGATAAACAGTGTTCAATTATTACTTTATTTTATTTTAATGAAACCAATTATTTGTTGCTATTAAATAACCTATTTGATTGTATTATCAATCATTGATATTTACAAAAACTTAATTTGTTTTAATTTTTATTCATTGCCAGCAAAGAACTTTGATAAGAAATCCTTGGGTTTTGGTTCTTCTGTTGGTTTAAAGTATGCCATAACATGTCCTTTTTGTTTCCACATGTTTACAGATTCTTTGAGTTCCATTTGACCCTGTAATGAGGTAAATTATAAAAAACAATATTTTATATAAAATCAAATATCTAGTTTTAATAGTTTCATTATTACAAGCAGTAATTGATATATATCTAAGAATAAGTTATAAAAGATATAATGAAAAATATAATTTTGTCTTAAGTGGATAACAAAATTGGTGAATGAGGTTAGAGTTAATAACACCAGTTACCAGTAGGTGCCATTAGTATAAATAACAGGGTTTTCTAAGCCATTTTTATGCCCCCTTCCCTCAAATACTAAATACAAAAATTCAAACACTTGTTTCAATACAGATAAACAAACTTCCACTAATTTGTTGTGAACTCAAATTTATTCATTTAAAAATGTTGAGATGTGGATTTTAAGATAATCTTTATTAGTAACAGCCAATATCCTGTATAATGTAATTACTCTATTGAATAATATGTTCGATACAAGGTTTTTAATTTTATATTGTAAGTGTAATCTTCTTGTATATTGTAAAATACTACATTAATTTCATAACTTCACTAAAATAAGCTACACGGTAAAAGGTATGTTTTAAAAGACTGTGCTTCTTACCTTGATGACCAGCATATCAATTACTCTAATATCTGTTACATTTTTGTTGTTTAAAAACATTTCCTTGAGCTTGTCACGGCATTGCTCTTCTGTTTTTGGCATATCAAAATCCTTTACTATAAACAAATAGTAAACTATTTCATTATTAGGTTCAAAAAACATCCCTACATCCATTAATCACACAAGCCAAACTTGGCTACATCAATAAACAAGCAGTAATTTCCTTTATAAACAAACAATTATTTCAATACTATCTTACGAGGTGCGAGAGTAATACAAAAGATAATTTAAAATTTGAATAAATCTTATATACATATAGTTTTCTTGTGATATTTATCAAAATAAAGCAATAATGATGACATAATAGTCCACCAACCTAAGTATGGAATCTGACGATACCATGCCTTGTATAAATTTAGGACTCTTTTTCTAGCTTCACTGGGCGTCTGCGATAGCAGAGGCTTCACAGTTTTCGAACCAACTTGTATGGCTTGTTTTGCAGACATTTTTTAACGTTTTGCACTTATTCTAAAAACGCTAAAACACAGACATTTGCCAAATTGAATGACAGACAGCTGATCTGTTTCATGTTTTTTTTTAATAGAAATGAAAAGCAAAGCAATCTAAGCCCATACATCCATGTATACTAAGATAATATTTCTGTTGAATATGATGGTCATATAAACCTTTGACATTTAACATAAAAAAACATCTACTATGTGTAGGACGTATGTAATAAACTATATCGAATCTAAAATAATCTTAACTTACACTACGTTCCAGCCAAGGCACACTGATGGTGATCCATCGAGACGGGCTCTGTGTATCGATTAGCTGCATTGGAATCCAAACAGAACAATTGATGTTTTCTATCATAATTAAGTCTTTTTCACCACAATCACATCACATTACATATAGGTACCAAATATTCAAATATCAATACTTAATCACAGCAGGAACAACAAACAATAAATTAAGTACCAACTGACAATAAAAATTATAATGGACATGTTTTTGCTCCATATTTTGGAGTACGATCAGAGCTATAAGGATTTATTATAAACGTGTCTTTCATCCTTCCTGGCATATAGGTGAAATAAATATCCCTGGAAAAAATAGCATGATTTTATAAAGAATTATCCGTTTAAATATGAATAAGAACAAATAATAGATTTTTTGCTTACAGGAAAGCTTTGCTAGGATAAGGATCGTACTTCATGGTGGACCACCACAAACGAGTTTGAATTAATTGTTTTCTTTGATTCCTCGTTACAAAATCATTTAACATTACTTGAAACTGTAAAAAAAAGACAGAAATATATTCGTTTCATTTCCATGTAGGTATGTAACACGTGACAACAATGATACAAGACACAAAAGTATGTTTCTGCCTTCCCTGCGATTCTGTAAAAATCCAGACGCGAAATCAAATTCATGTGTCCGAATCCACGTCATTTAGTGTAGAAATTATACTTGTTTCAGATACACATTCTATTCCTATGTCATTTCGAAACTCACTTCACTTATGCAGCGAAACGTTATTCAATCAATTCAAAGTTGAGCGGATGCCGCTGTTTGAAGTGAATTCGGAGACCTGAGTGAATTCGAATTCGGGTTTGGATTTTTACAGAATCGCAGGGCAGTTTTGCTTTTAAAAACCTATATTAGATTAATTATACTATAGCTCTCTAGATGTCTCTAGTGGTATTCAAAATAAAATGAATACAACTCAAGCGCCGCTTTCAATTTATGTTGTGAATATACTTCTATGCTATCGTTAAGCGAACTTAGCTTCGGAGATAAGACATTGCGGAATAACAAATCTTGACAAGTCGAAGAGAAAATGATTCTTACCAAAGTCTGAACCATGTATCGATGAGACCAATTAAAATGTTCAAGTTCTTTCAACGTAAATGGAATTTTATATGTTGGTGCTTTGAAGTCCATATGTTTTAAATCTAACCACCGTCTTTGTGACTGCAAAATTAACTGTTCTGAAAGTGATCAATTTTTTTAAGTAAAATATCAATAAAGTCGAATATTTAGCCTTATTTTTCTATAATGTATTGCCCCTGAGGGATGCAAGACTAAGCAAGCCTGCCGCATACTGGGCTAAGATTTGGTTGGCATTGATTTCATTCAAAATGCACTCAATGTCCATTCAATATTTACTGGATTTTCAGATAACATTACCCACGTCAAATACAATATTCCACACAAAAATTTTGATTGACAAAAAGAAATGTTTATAAATCCTACGTATGTTTACTGTTTAAGAATTAATCTTAACCTCTTCATATATCATTTCATTATTACATTTTTGCTGATTGAATTTGCATGTTATTTTATGTGATTGTTAACCAAATATACCTACCTAGATTAATTTTGTAATAGAATTAAGTTATCAAAAATATTATTTACGTATTTTTCTTTAATATAATGTCGACACTTACTATGTTGTTTCGGTAAAATTTTACCCTTTACCCTTTTTCTAACCCACTCCTGAAGATTATTCAACAAGTTTGCTTTAGGTAAATGTGGGATGAGAAGAGGCGTATCTGACAAGTCTGCTAAGAGGGCCTGTTTATAAACAAAACATATCTTCATAACATGATCACTATAATAATATGTATGTAAGTCCTACTTGTTCCTTATATTTTTTGCATCCTAATTGTTTTATAAAATCTTTTCAATTTTAGCAATTATTCTGCCGTTAGAGGAGGAATTGCAATCGTTACAAAATATATGATAAATACTGTCGATTTTTCTAAGGTGGTTTCCAAAATGGCTTCTTTGACAATGGGCATTATTCATTCTAGCACTTTTGATTTCACCTATGAGAACATCACGGATCAACTGAACCCGGTGATGTTTAAGAAACCAACTTCATTTACATCAAAATCACTTCCGGAACAAGTTAAATTAATTGTCACTTGAGCACTGAGAAGCCCTCACAAATAAAACTACGTTAATTTATATTCATAACCTATAGTTAGTCTTACGCATACCGCTAATAAGTCCTTTTCTTTCATACCAATAGGAGATATGGTAGACTCCGATGGTTCAGGCTGAAATCATATCCAAAGTTTAAACTGTTTTCTTTTAAATTTTAAAACTGATTCCATCTTTGAGTATGGCAAAATTATCGTTTGCCGTCAAAGAAATACGGTATTGTAACAAGTTTATATTTATGGAATTTGAGTAGGCTATTTAATTATTCTTTGCAATTTATCTTTATGTGCGATGAATAGCTAAACTCTGAAGAAATTAGAAATGTAGTGTAATTATGGAAATTACTTATACTTAAATACAAAATTCGATATAACTACCGAAGGTTCACCAGACATCATTGCGTCCCTGATAGTATCCTTGATAAAATCTTCCCACGGATCCATCTGATAAATCTTCGCCTGATCGAACCATAATTTTCCGTGTCTCGTTGGTTGATGGAAACATTTCTCTTTAGCTTTTCCTTCATTATAGAAATCGTAGAGGTGACCACATTTGCATTTTGAACTTTTTAAATAATCCATCACTGTATTTTCCCTGACGATGTAAAGCATTCCATCAAAAGACTATAATCTTTGTGACTTTGAATTCTTATCTATTTATTTATAATTAGGTATTCGAATAGTAAAACACAATACTTATGTAGGTACTTAAAATATGGTACAAAAAACATTAAAAAAATAGTGTATTATTTCTCTCTTTTCAATCGTTTCTCTTTATTATTATTTTTTTAAAAGTCAGTTTATATCTATAATTGTTTTTTTTTTATTTCTTCCTTTGTTTAAATCTCATTCATTATCATTTGCACATCTACAAAATATAGCACACGTGTTTAGAAAGGCATATAAACTAAGATATATGAATATTGAGCCATATTCCATCAAAATTACAAACATATTGATTGATTACCTATTTCCTATAAGACGGTTAACTTTTTAGGTTATATATTCAAAACTACTGAACCGATTTTGATAAAACTTGTAGTGTAAGTTGAAAGCTACTCAAATAAAGAATCATTGCAATCCGACGTCTAGTTTGCGAGATATCCGTGGACAAACATACAGACGACAAACATGGATGTCTATAAAATTTTGCATACGTGTTTAGAACTTATGCAGACGAACATGCTTATTATATTACGCTATTCCAACGAAATTACATACATACATCTCGAACTGTTAACTTCCTTTTTTTGAAGTCGGTTAATAAATATTAGACAACTATGTATTAACCGATAAATAATCTAAAAGCCCTCGTAGTATGGAGTATCTCAAACAATGAAGGTATCACAAAACCAACAGGAGACAATTTAGAAAAGTCACTTAGCTATAGTGTCCGACCGAAGGTCTATTTTTGGCCGAAGCCGAAGCCGAAGCCGATTAATCGGCAATCGCCACAACCTTCGGCAAAAGCCGAAGCCGAAGCCGATGGTTTATAATTTCTCAGTAATTAATTTTGTTCAATATTGTCTACAAGCTACAATTAATATTAAAATTATTTCAAAACTTCAATATTGAAGGTTATATTGACTGTCTCATATAGAAGTTGATTTAGAAATACAGATTTGACAGTGAAGGCGCTTGTGCACTACACTGAATTTTCATGTCCGGCGGTCCGATTTTTTCCGGCCTGATATGTCAGGCCATATGTAGGTAATGCTAGCCTGTGCCAGGAATATTTTTCCTGTCTTCTACGTCTTCGCACGTACAGTAATAGAGCAAGCAATTACCAACATTTCAAAAATCTCATCGTGCATATTGTAAGTGACGTGTAGCTTCACAGAGAGCTACCCTAAAATGTGCCACTCCGATCCGGAAAAAAACGGACAAGTGCACAAGCTACTCATCCGAGTTTTTCATGTCATTCGGGACCGGAAAAAGTCGGCCCGCCGGACCTGAAAATTCATTGTAGTGCACAATCGCCCTGACTCCCGCGGTCTCTACCAACACGACCGGTCCATCGCTCTCTCATTCAGTCTTTCGAAACAGTTCGTTCAATCTCGACGGTAGCTCGGACCTTCGGCTTCGGCCTAGTTTTGGGCCGAAGCCGAAGGTTTCGCCGAAGATGTTTTTTTGGCCGAAGGTGCCCGATGCCGAAGCCGAAGCCGAAGCTTCGGTCGGACACTACTTAGCTATGGGATTCGTCTGGTATTATAATTACACCGTTTACCTTAATAATGGGCCAACAACCTTCAATAGAAATAAGTAGTTCGAGTACCTTATTTTGAATACATAAACAGTAATTTTATATATTTTAAATTAAGTGATTATACATACCACTTTGTAAGACAGTCGCATGACTCGTCACATTTATCAACCACTTCTTTTGGAAACTTCCAATAGCCGTTAATAACCGTTATGGCAGCCCCGTTGCGATTAACTACACCCCCGTTTATTGGAATATAACCAGTAGGCAGAATGGAAACATCTACAACATGTATATTCAGATTGAGAATTCAGGAATTCCCAAGGATAGCCAATTGCATAAGCGATTTATAAAGTTTAATGAAAGCTTCAATCTCTAATAAAATTCTATATGGCAATTTTAATGGACGTTTATGCAACCGAGTGTAGTATTTTCTAATTTCCGGTAAACCAGAAAACCACAATTCAAACTTTTTACGGAAAAAAATAATTTTCCTTTTCTTAAATTGCTGATTATGAAACATGGTTATGATATTCTGGTTAGCTTTTAGTTACCCAGGGTAATAGCGTTGATATTAGAAGCTTTAACTGCTACTAAAACTTTTAAATTATGAAGGTATTTATTTGCTTATATTACGTAATCTAGATATATTTAGATAGATGTTAAATAATCTTTCTATATTGCATTAATCGGGAGAGAACTAAGGAATCATGACTTACCAAAATCAATTTGCTATCTGAACTATGAGCGAATAAGATGTGTAAATACGAGTTTACCTAACATATTGAACGTTTCTAAGAATAATTGTCACAACTAGATAAAAGGAACTTAAAATCGTGCCCAAATTAGCGGCAAATTCGTTTCTTCTGGACAAGGTGATCAAATATGTGCTGGCGGTTTGTTCTAGCATCAATTTTTTTTTTAATGCTAGTCCCAAAGTATTTTGTGCTAATATTGAGTCTAGTGGCTATTGACTATGATAAATATAACTCATAGAATAGGATAAAAGAAAAACACAGAACGTTAAAAACTTACTTGCTAAAATATAGCGTGGAGTTCCGCCAGTAAAAGATACCCCCGTTACAAGGTATTGTACGTTGTTAAAAAGACTCTTATGTTTAGGTTTTGCTTTTTTCTTGAACATTTTAAGTTTATTTACATAAGCAACCATTTTTGGATCCGTATTTCCTGTTAAAATAATGACATAATTGTTCTAATTAAATGATCTTACTTAGCATTTTTTCATAAATACCATTGTTATAAGTAAGATGCAGGTATGTAACTTTAATACCATGTTATTTGTGTTTTAAATTTCTTATTTACTTATATTTATTTGCATTGTTAATTTTTTTTGTCTGTTCGTTGCACAGGTTACAATTATTTTTTTGCGTAATCAGTAAATTACGTCGATATATTGAGTTGAAATATCATATGACGTCACATCTTTATACTTTTTTATATATAGATAGTTGTGACGTAGGGCGCCCCCAGTCCTCGACTTTAATGCATGTTATCTAAGCCATTTCTTTTTAAATTTATGCAAAAAATACTAATATTTTTCTAAGTATTATCCGACTGTCAAGCCCGAATCTGGGCCGGGTGGAAGTGGGAGGACTTGCCCGGGGGGCCAGTATCATGGGGCGCCAAAATCGTTATAATATAATACAAAAGAGGAAGAGTTTGACAAATACAGATATTTTTTCAAAGTTCCGAAAAGAAAGGCCCTTTTGACAGGCTGCTTTTTTCTTACAAAAAAGAAAATGGTTCGGTGCACGGTACCAAGCTTTAAAGTTTTATTAAAAGAACTAAGTATTATACTTACGTAAAGTGCTGGGAGGTTCCCAGAATTTATAAGTACAAACCCTTTCAGCTTGCTTAGCTTTTTTATTTCTTTCCAACCGTTTCTCCAACTATAGACAAAGGACATTTATTATCCTAGTAATTACATCCATATAGAAAAATATAGTTATTTAACTAATACTTACAAACGTATGATCCACGCAAAGTCTTTCATAACTCTGTAAATTGTTAAATACAATAAATAAAGCTTAATAATAATATATGTACCTTCTACTTATCTATAATTTATTCTTTCTAGTAATTTCATTTCATTCTTTAAGTTGACATTCTTGAAATACAAGTTACTTCTTAGTTAATTAAGAATATTCGGTAAAATCCTATAAATATTATAAATATGAAAGTTTCTTTCTTTGGATGTTTGTCCGTCAATCACGCCGAAACTACGGATTTTACTACGGATCTCCCCCGTGCTTCGGAAGGCACGTTAAGATACTGGTCCCGACTGCATCTGCAGTCGTTAGTAGTTACCTATAAATCCGCACTGGGCTAACTTGAAAAAAGTCATGCCAAGGAGCTTAACGTGTGTAAATTCTAAATACAAGGCAAATTTGGGGCGCGTCATTACTTTGATGAAAATAAACTAACATCATCGCTTCGTAGTTTAAATTTATATCCAATGGGTTTGCTTTTTATTTGTTTCTTCTTGGGGGCCGAATGTGTACTATACACAGGCACATGCATTTTCTGCAAATACTCCCCGTAAAGGACTTTCGGTTCATAATACGGGTTCTTTTCTGTGGAATAGTAAAAAAAAATATATATGTAAGTATTCCAGTATGTACTTTAATCATCAACTGTTGTAAATAGGTTATATTTTCTTACACACTTTTTGGTTTTTCAGGAGGTGGAACTTTTTCCGTATAAGTGAGTTTTTCTAATCTTTCCACACACTCTTCTAGGTCGATGAATACCAAACTTGACATTAAGATCATCGCATTAATATCGTAAACTGAAATAAGAAATATACAATAAAGTAAATAATATACTACATTTGAACAAATTTGCATTTATAATAAGATAATGACGGAAGCGACAAGGATGGAGTGGGTATTACTGGTGTGAAATTATAATACTAAGATATCTTCAAATGCGTCTAACGCCCACAAAACAGGGTGTCTTCAAAGCTCGGGTATCATTGAAATAAATAAAATACACATCAAAAAATATGAAATAGACAATTGTAGAATGAGGTCGGTCCAGGATCCGGTCCTCAACACAATGCTATACTGATAAATAGGTTCTTCAATGAAAAATGCTAAAATTACTATTACTTATTAGTACCTGGTAGATTTTTAAGCTATTTTCTTTAAAGTAAATGATATTTTATTATTGAGTTTATTTCCGATTGGATAAACTTAAAACGGCGCGTACATAAAAAGTCAACACTTTCATATAAGTTTGTGCCATCATCATCAGCCCTTTTACGTCCCCACTGCAGTGGCTCAGGGCTTCTTTATGGGTGGTTAAGGAGGATGAGCCATGATACTCTACGCTGGCCTAATACGCATTGGAGAGTATTAATGACTGCAAATGTAGCCGGGACCAATGGCTTAACCTGCCTATCGAAGCACGGTCTAGCTCAAGATAATAATTTTTTGGTCACCCATCCCCTGAAAAAAAGGAAGCGCCTGAAATTCTCTGATTTTTTTATTTCTTGTTGTAATTATATCCTTTTTTATCAAAAAGATAATATAATGGATAGACATGTGAGTAACTTTGTAGTCTTGTTTACGCAGCATTTTTATATTAATAATTCCAAGAGTAAACTCTCCAATCCGCATTGGGCTCGCGTGGAGGTTTATGGCCCATCTTCTTAAACCATCCACAAGGAAAGCTTGAAGCCCTGCTGTGGGGACACAAAAACGGCTGATGATGATGAATAAATTATTTAAAACAATTTTTTAAACGCATTTTTTAAATTGCCAAACGTAATGAGATAGAGTATTTTGAAATAACCCCTATTAACGCAAAATAAAGATAAATACTTAACTAACGGTCAGTAGCACAAACGTCCATTAAGGTCCTCAAATGACGCCTTTAACATCTAATGGAAATCAAATTTCTGTAGGTAATGTCGCTTTAAATTAATTATTTTTTTATGGTTTATTTAATTTTAATTCACGTTTGTGTAACTAGCTGTAACATATTATCTTAATTATAAAACACTGAAGCGGTTCAATGAAATTTGGCACAGAAATAAAGTTAACCTGGGGTAAGATAGGTTCCTTTTTATCGCGAAAAAAGTCAAAGAGCTTGAAATAGGGGTGAAAAATTGTATGGAAATTCTAGGGCAAAAACGTCAAATACCTACAAGTACAAACTTACATCTTTACAAAGTCGCTTCCCTCTGTCTGTACGTTGTCATCTTTTAAACTACACAATGGATTTTAATCAATATACTTAGTGATTCAAGAGAAAGGTTTATATATATACTAGTTTTCGCGTACGACTTCATCCGCGTGGTTATAGTTACTTTCGGCAGCATTTCTAAATAACGCTAAAACAAATATTATTCATACCTGAGTATACTTGGACGTTCAACTTAGGAGCCACTACAACTAAAAGCTATTTATTTGTAGTCAAATAATTATAGGAATTTCAAGGAGATTAAGTATTTCAACAATGTCATATAGATTATTTTAACAATTCATGTTAATCAATTTTATCACGAAGTCAATTAAATCACATTAAATTATAAATAAATAAAATTTTAACGAATGAACCTTTATACGAATAGTTTGTTTTCTTTCGTATTTAAAACGATTTTGAATATTTTCAAAAATATTTATTTATGTTATTTTTCTTATCAATTGTATACCTACTCAAATACCAGTTTTTATCATATTAAATGGAAATATTTAAAAATAATGTTAGATATATTCATTAGAATGTCAAATCAAATAGTAAACAATGGTTGCTATGGTAATATTTTAATTTCCCATAAAAACTTTCACTCCCGTTTTCATCCCTTTAAGTGCTATTTTTCGGGATAATATATAACCTATTACCTTTCTAGGGTTTTAAACTACCTACCCAAATACCAATTTTAATCGTTATAGGTTCAATAACAAAGAAGTTCCATACAAACGTTTTCGCCTTTTTTCACCCTCTTCGGGGTGGAAATTCTAAAAATCTGTTATTAGTACATCTCTACATAATAAGACGAATGTACTCTCCAAATTTCAAGTCTCTACGATCAGCGGTTAAGGCTGTGCGTTGTCTGTCAGTCAGTATGTCAAGATATTTTTTTTATACATATATGCATAGATTATACGACCACGGAGCGAAGTCACTGGTAAGCTAATATAAAAGGGAAAACTAACTTGGTCTTAATTCACTGGGAGGCTTCTTATAACAATAAGTGTATAAACTCCAAATGAACACTCCAGGATCATTAACGGACTCGTGCATTGCCTTCATTAGTAGCGCTTTGGGAATTTTTAATGTCACTCCTAAATCTGATAAAGATTTTCGAATTCGCGTAGGTAGATCTTCTAATAAATCTTGATGAATATTTTCTTTCAAGTGATTTAAGACTTCTCTTTGACTGCTCGATAGTTCGAAATACCAAGGAGGACCTACTTCAGACTGTAATCTTTTTTCTTTTCTTTTTGCTGCAACATACCTAAATATTTAGGCATTGGAAACTCATGCTATACTTTTTTTACTATGTAGATTCTATGAATAGGATTAACGTTTTTATACAGTTTAGTGAGTTTTTACGTTCACTGTCGATTGTGAGCGCGCTAAGATTTTATTAGGGATTCCGGTACAGAGCTATTAGCGGTAACTAGGTTTCCAAAACTATAAATCTCCATACAAATTTTTAACGCGCTCTAATGAACGTGAACTTACACTTACCATTCAGTATTTCTTATTTTAATGGCATGATATTGCTATGATTGTCATTAAGAATAATCATCAGCCTATTAATATTTAGCCTATTAGTAGCTCGGTGGCGTAGTGGATAAGCACCGCGGCCCGCGATCGTTGTCGTTAAGCAACTTTCGCAAGGGTCGGTCACGGTATGGGTGACCAAAAATTATTATCACGAGCTACTCCGTGCTTCGGAATGCAACGTTAAGCCGTTGGTCCCAGCTACATTTGCAGTCGTTAATTTCTCCAATCCGCATTGGGCCAACGTGGAGGGTCATGGCCCATCCTCCTTAACTATCCATAAGGAGGGCCTAAGCCCCTGCAGTGGGGAAGTAAAAGTGCTGATGATGATGATTAATATTTGAACAGCTGGAGCATAGCAAAGCGAATGCCTAACTCTCTTGCCATGATTCTAGCCATAGGATACATCTTATCGATGTTATGGCGATATTTCATTTCATTTTTCTACTGTGAGCAGAACAGTGCGGATTACAGACACAGCTGGGCCCAACAACTTAACAGCAGAGGTACTCAAGATAATAAATATATGGTCATCCATCTATGACCGGTCCACACGAAAGTTACTTAACTGCGTATCACAGAAAAACTCACTAACCACTGCACTCGTCCGGTGAGTTCATTCCTTTTTTTAAGAATGATATTACAATAATAATTACCTTCACAATAGTAATAATGTTTTAAATCCCTTAAAAATCTCAACCATTTTCCCACTTTTTCATTGTATGGTTTTTGTTCTTCATTTTGTCGCATTTCATTCTCCAAATATACCCATACAGGCTCATGTTTGGGTCCAAATGTTATAGTCTAAATGCAAAAACGATAAAGTGTTATGTCTTCTTGAAGAATCAATAAGATAATAAAGATAATCACAAATCTAACTGTGGCTATCCCACCAAAATGATCGCTAAATAAAGATTCTAGAAAGTTTATTTTTTTTCCAATGAAATAAATTAGCTATGAAGAGCTATTTCGTCATTAGTCTTCGTCGTTATCGTTAGGCAAAGAGCATAGTTTCTTGTTTGTGTTATAGCCACAATAATATTTGCCATGTCAACCCGGTACTAGCGTAGAAAATATAGGTTTTTCATTAAAATTATTTATAGACCTTGGAATATTATCTCACACCTCAGACTAAAAATGGTTAGACATATTTTCGTAAGAAAAGTTAATTGGAACTTGAGGGTCAACATTCTCGCAGCCAATTACCCACAAGATGGACAGATCTAATGAAATTATTCATGAATTGAACACTTATTGAATGCACACTTAGTGCCACAAACAAGAGATAGATGGAGAAGTCTCACAAAAGCCACAACAAATCAAGCATGTTATCTATATCAAAGATGACCCCGCCAGGAGTATACCGCTGATGAGAACATAAATTATACTTATATTGATGTCTACCTTTTTTGCCAAAAACTGTTGTACTGTAGGCATTTTATACTTCCCCATGGTTATAATACAAAAAATTTAAGGATTACAAATAAATACAGGAATTTTTTATCGAAACTTGAGAATTTGAGGTAATTAATCCTAAACTCTTAAATTTTGACTGACAAATTGATGGCGATGTCAGAATATCACACGAAACCATAAAAAAAGGTTCTATTAGGTATAATTGCCAGTATCTGAGTGCATACCACCTTAAGTCATGTGCAACGACAATTTATTTTTCGTATAGAAATTTTAAGAAAAACTATAGAAAAAGCTGTAGGTATAAATACACCATGATACCCGATAATACCTATCTATATATCAAATAGTTCATTCAAAAAATATGTCCTGAATACGTACTACATGTCCCACGTAGAATTGCGTCCCATGGCTACCTCCAACTCCATCATGAGATCAGTTTCGTTCCATAGATCTCGAATGACAAATCAAAGTACCCAAACTCATAGGTTGCGTTTCCAGCCAGTTGCCAGTTCTATGATCAGACCCTAAATATAATCTCAAATCAACAAAGACAAATCAAACGATCCGATTCCATTCCGTCGTTTAATAAAGGAGATGACTCAAAACAAAGGTGTCCCAAAACTGCTCTAGAATCGATTCATGTCTGTATCAAGAAATTACGCCTTAAAACGTTGGCTTCAAAAATGTAATCATCATCATCATCGGCCCTTTTACATACCCACTGCAGGGGCTCAGGCCTTCCTTATAGATGGTTAAGGAGGGTGGGCCATGACCCTCCACGCTGGCCCAATGCGGATTGGAGGGTATCAAATGCAGCCAGGACCAACGGCTTAACGTGCCTTCCGAAGCACTAATTAATTTTTAGTCACCCATTCCGTGACCGACCCTTGCAAAAATTGCTTAACGACAACGATCGTGGGCCGCGGCGCTTATCCACTACGCCACCGAGCTACTCTAGCTACTATAAAATTATTATCACAAAAATTTTATAGTAAATAAAATCGGAATACATAAACTTCACAAAGTGGATCTAAAACAATTTTTTATTGAGGTCGTGCAATGTAAGGTAAGGTAAGAAAAAATAGATAATCACGTAAGACGAATTTCTTAATAGTGCTGTTTTATTTCTTATAAAAGACCACTGGCACTGACCTTAAACACAAAAATCACTTTTTGTGTTTTGATTTTATTTAATTTACAATTTTTGTGGTATATTTCTTTCTCTTTATTACATTTTTTTTTTAAATTGGTATAATTTACTTTTTGTTTTGTTTTTTACTCCTTACTGAACATAAGGTGAAAAATTTATTCAACATTCATTACCTTTCCATTGTACCATAGTTCTTTATTGCAGAAACAAAATAGCCAACTAACCTGTTTTGAAAAGGTGTAGTATTTGTGAAGTGAGAACAAGTAGATGCTCTACAGTTGCAGTGTGTAGAGTTAGAATCTTGGCATTACGATATCTAATAACTTTTTGACAGTGCAAGTCATATGATCCCAGCTTGACAATACTTTATATGTAAATGTGTTTGTTGAGATTCACTTTTTTTCGTAAATTGCTTATAAGATTTTTTTTTGCACATCAGTGATCATGATTTAAACCTATTGATTAAATATAAGAAGTAAAACAAATGTATAAAAGTGTTATAATTACTTTTGAAATCCTATTAATATTATAAATGTGAAAGTTTCTTTGTTTGGGTGTTTTCTTTGTTTTGGAAACTACTGAACGGATTTTGATGAAATTTGGTATAGGGTATTAGCTGACTTAGATAATAGGATACTTTTTATCCCACTAAACAATTTCCTAGGGTCCACACGGGTGAAGCCGCTAGCGAAAGCTAGTAAAATATAAATGTGCTTAATAAATATTGTTATAGCTGTTTGCTTAATAAACCCCAATCAATTTCACAGTTTAGTGATCACTATCACTACATGAATCTTAAATAGATGAAAGTAATGGTGAAAGTGTATTTCAAACACAAGAGTTTTTTCATTTTATTTATTATCTGATTTCTGTTTTTCAAGTACTTCCTTATATGGAGGATTAATTGGTGCTTGCACAGGATTCTTGTATTCATATGAATTTTGTCCTTCTAGTAATAATGAGTATGAAGTATCTGAATCATAAGCACTAAGATCACCGCATGCATTGAATGGGACTATGTATCTGTTAGGACCTGTAAATTGGTTGAAATCACAGTATTTGTGATCAAGCAGAGGATTAACCATTGTAGGTACAAATCCTTCAGGTGGCTGATAGTTTTGACATATGACAAAGGCTTCAATACTGGAATTTCTTGAGCTTCTTGGTTTTGATACAGTGACAAACTCAAAAAATTGTCTCAATTGCGAGTATAAAAGAGTTACATCTTTTCCTCTAAATATCTTTGCTACAAATACACCATTTGTTTTGAGAACATGAGTTGTTATATTTAATGCTGCAAGCAGGAGTTGCGATTGTACATATTCATCAATATCATGTAAGCCAGTAACATCTGGAGCACCATCACACACAACCAGATCAGCTTTAAGGCCCGCGAATTCTTTGATAATTTCATTAGCTGTGGATACTTTTGTGATATCACCTTGAATTTGAATAACCCCAGGTAGTGGAGCCATTGCCTGTAAGTCAACAGCAACTATTTTAACATCTTTATTATCTGAATTTTCACGTAACTTTTTAGTTAAGACTTGGCTCCAGCTACCTGGCGCCGCACAAAGATCTACAGCTCTTAAAACACCGTCAAAAATGTTATATTCTTCATTAATTTGCAATAATTTAAAAGCACTTCTTGCTCGCCAACCCTCTTCTTTAGCCAATCTATAATATATATCACGTTTATCTTTTGACGTCTTTCCCATGATAGTAATTAAAGAAGGTGTAGCAAGTTGAAGAGCACAGAGCTTGAGGTATACACGAGCAGTATGTACAAATTGTGAAATTGATAGTGGTCAAAGAAAATGTTGACACTATACTATATTTTCCTTTGTATTAATATCGTTAAAAATTTATACATTATCACTGCTGTGTGGTTTTTAATTTTTTTTCTCTTCCCTTTTATCCAAAATAGGTTTGCTATTCTTTTTTAATTAAAAAGACCTATTTGCGTTTACACAACTCCGCCAATGTCACGTTTATGGTCTTTACACATTAAAAAACAATAACAAAATATGTAATTGATAAATTCATGCGACTTTTAAGAAAATAATAAAGACAACATGATTAATTCACAATTATTTGGTTGGTACGTGAGTGCGTTTATATAAGTGTATAATAATAGTTAAGCCATGTCCCTAACAAAGGAAATTATATTACATTATTTAATAAGTAGCAATTTTGGAGAAGTTTCGTGAAATACTAATTTTTATTTAATACCACAGACTTATATTGGTATATTCAATGTCGATACAAATATGGATATCATGTGTTGCAAAAATATAAAACGGTAGTTCCTTACTTGTTCAAATTATTCTAAGGTGCTATATACTATCTCCTTCTTAGTCTGTATGGACGCACGGTAGTATTTTCGTGGTATTTCCCACAGACTTAGTAGGTATTTCCTAACTGGTCTGTGTTTTTGACATATTGAGTTTTGTTTTTCGTGGTTTCCGTTAGGAGCACGGCCCGTCAACTCCGTACTACAAACCAATCGCGTAGGGGTCCAGTGATGTATGACATTTCCTCACGCCCCTCACCCCTGTCAGTAGATGGAGACATGACACCTGACAGAAACTGTCATTACAACAAAGAGTAAAGATAGTAATGTTTTAATCAATCTTTAATTCATTTTACATGTTGGAATTAATTTATTCATTTCACATTGGCAAAATTGTGTGAAATGCGCAGATATGCCATTAATAAAAGAAGAAGAAGACTAAAGTATGTACCTACATATCAGGGAATTACAAGTGATTGAGTAAAGTTTCTTTTGTGCTTACCGTCTTCGCTTTATTTGTAATATAAACTCTCCATTTTTCGAAGTATTTTTATTTGTAGAAGATGCCTAAGAAATTGGTGTGTTGTGTTATGGTTGTGTTACACGCATTGTTAAAGTACGAACAGGACGCTATTCTTTATAGATTCTAGTGAACGAGAAAAGATTCTCCAAGTGGTTACAATGTCTTAGTGCTGTGTGTGGTACTGAAAATTGTAATCCAGGCAGAAGTGTCGTTTGTAGCAAACACGTTGTACCAAGATTCATCACTCCAAAATCATGACTCTTGGGTGATGCATATCCGTCATTGTTTATTGATGATGGGCTCTCAATCAGCCTACCCTCTTCAAGCAATACTGGTAAGGCTGGTTTAATCTGATATTACCTTTAGAAAATGTAATTAAAATGATATGTATCTTCACTTTATGTTGTGTTTTGGAATACCGCTATTCTTCATTAGATTTTTTTTATTACAGAAATTATATTCACTTGGGAACACAGCTATGCAAGAAAAAGTCATGTTGACCACACATATTAGAAAGTGGAACTGAACAGAGGTTTGTTTTTAATTTATTTTATTTAGATAACAAAGTTCATGCTGCAGTTTTGGTGTATTTTAATATAGATTTTTGCTTTAAAAAGTCTAGTAGATCTCTCTTTCTTACACACATAAAGAAAAATGACATTAAGTTACTTAATTCTAGCGGGCACGCTAGAAGTGATTTTGATCAGAGAATAAATTGATAATATAAATAACATATTTCTAATATCATCTAAGATTATATCCTGTTTTTTAATCTTGCACACATAATCAATATTGATTTCATAGGTGGTGTAATTTTAAAAGAACAAATTGAGACTCCCGTGTCTGCAGCCACTGAGTTTACTCAATTAGTTGCTTGCTCTGGAGATTAAAATATGACACAAACTAAATTATCTGGTAAGACCTGTCTCTTTCTTTAGTGTATCTTTATTTCAATCAAATAGTAGTTCTAATAGAGAAATTCACTGAATACTTTTGATGTTACAGACCCTGTGAAATGTACCCAAACAAAAAGGAAAATGCTTATTGCCAAATAAAGCCAATTGTCACCTTTATACCAGAGAATTTATGAAGAATATAACAAGCCAAAGACGTAGTTGAACTTTCATAATTAATTTAAGAATACTTAAATACCTTTAAGTTTTGTAAAAAGTTATCATTTGAAAAGTTCTGACAAAAAATGAACACAGTTGCAAAAAATATTTTGAAATGCAAGTGAGCATGTGCTCTAAAAATAAACATGAGAGGTGATTCACTACCGAAGAAAAGATAATTGCTTTATCAATATCAAAGCAGAGTCCAAAGTGTTATCGATTTATAAGCAAAATTTTTTATTTTATCATCCAAAACTACACTGCATACTATGATTAGAAAATCGATCATAGAACCAGGCTTCATGTAAGAGGTAAATATATTCCATATAAGGTTTTTCATACTACTTTTATAATTTTTTGTATTACTACCAAATAATAATATGTACCTACCTTATAATACCTTACCTTATAATAATATGTATTTGAATTTATTTTTTCAGGTGGACAAATGAAACTCCAAAAAATATGCTCCATTATATTTGATGAGATGTCATTAGAAACAGCACTTTTGTATAATAAAAGTAATATGGATTAAAGATAAAATTAATGGATTTGTAGAAAACCAAGAAAAGAAAGTGGATTTTGCAGATCATACTATTGTATTTATGTTGGTGCTGTTTACAAGTGGCAGCCTTTATGTTAGTATTTCTGTCAAGGAGCGACATCTACTGTACATCAAGAATATTTTAAAGTTAGTAGTAGAAAAAGTTGTTGAATTGGACCTTAATCCCATTGCAATAATATATGACCTTTCCAATCAGCACTCAAAAATCTAAAAGAAGACACTTAGTGTGATCAAATTTTAAATTGAAATCACAGGTTGGTACAGAGAATTATATTTATATGAAAGAAAACTAATAGGTTTAATGAAAGTAGTGAAGGTTCTTATTTTTATATTGTTATCTATGTTTTAAGAAGTTCTTAAATTTTTGTTTCAGTTGGCATTCTTAAAATATGTGGGGTGGATTTGAACATTATGATTCTACACACTTGATAAAATGCATCAGGAACAATTTTTTAACAAAAAATTTAATATTGGATAGTAAACTTGCAAAATGGCATGATATTATTTATGTCTATAAGACAGACTGTCAAAACACTGAAGCTGGGCTACGTCATAAAGTAAATGACCAATGAGTTATACCTGATAAAATTAAAATGATGAAGGTAATGCATTACTTATTATATTAGTATAACTTAAATTAGTATAAATAAAAGAAATAATTTGTATTCAGCTTCTATATTCTCTATCAGAGCAAGTGTTGATTCAATGACCTGTATTTTTAATTATGTAACAAGTAGTTAATATAGTTTACACTTAAATTACAATAATTATTCTCTAATGAAGATAATTTTAAATATGATATCTCTTTTTGCAGGTAAAAAATTGTGTAAAAATATGTCTGCAGCTGCAAATTTCTGTGAGTATTAGATGAAATTTACTAACAGTTAATAGTTTTGAATCAAGTTTCATACAATTATTGTATGAATATTTTAATTTGCAGCAACTTATGTGGATGGCAGGCCTATCAGCACAACATTAAGAAATACAGCTGAAGTTGTTTCATTCTTTGACCAATTATTTGATAGTGTCAATGGAGCATCGATAAACAAAAAAAGCATAAAGGAAAAGAGCATCATTCTTTCTGGCCAAAGGCAATTGAAATTTTAGAAAAACTTAAATATGTGAATAAAAAGGTATGCAAATATCAGTGCCCTCTTTAAAAAAAATGTGACTACCTTGAAAAGTTTCATAAGGTTGTGCCACTAAAAAACGTAAAAACGTAGCTAAGAATTGCCGAGAATACAGAAGAAAACTGTGAAAAATATAATAAGTTAAAAAATAAATTATTCAATAAATAATATTGGAAAAATGTGTGTTTCATTTACGTTTTCGTTTTTCCTTTTTTGTTTTAATACAACAATAATAATAAGCTAGACTTATCAGTCTGCTTTATTGTTATTGTTGTATTAAAACAAAAAAGGAATTTAAATTAAAGTAAAAATAATGTGGAAACTAGGAAGACGGCTAGGTACCTACCCAAAACAGGGCTGTATAGCTAAATGCCTTTGCCGATAGTAGATTTTAATATTTAAAACGAATGAAGCTGTCATGTATCACTGGCTCCCAATCACGTTCTACGAAGAAATTTTTTGTTAGGAAGTTGGTCGTCTGATACACCTACTAAGTCTGTGGTTAGGAGTACTATTATTCTATGTTCGTGGTGTTTCGGTGTCTTCATTTTCATTGACGAAACATATTTTTTTAGTCTTTATTTCGTTCCTATAGTGTTTAAATTCTCTTTTGGGTAAAAGGAATAGTTTTTTTTTATAATGGAATTCACCAGTGGCACAAAAAAGATTTTTTTATTTATAATGGAAGACTGGAAATTGTTATTATTTCTGACATTTATTTTTTCCGTCTATTTCTATTACACAAGCACATTTGATTTTTTCGAGAAAAAAGGGATAAAATACATGAAACCTACAATATTTCTTGGAAACTTAGGGCAACGTTTGATTGCCAAAAAATCATTTCACTTATTTCAGTTGGATATTTATAATTATTTCAGAGGCAATCCATATGGAGGTAAGGAAGCTGTAGTCACAAGTTAATAAAAATATTCACTATTTGCATTTAATTAAGTCATAAATATGCGCCATTCTCATTTAATAAACTGTGTAAAAAATTGTGTAAAAAATTATAAAACAAAATTGTGTAAATATACACAATATTTATATTTTAGATCCTTTGGTGTCTTAAATAGAACATTGAATATAGAATTGATAATAATTTGTGGATCTACTGTGTCTTTTTGTATTTTAAAATGGTTTGTAAATTAGTAAACAGTGAAAAAAAAAACTGTTTGTCTTTGTGTTTTACATCTTTTGTAAATTTGCAATTATGGTAATTATAAACTTCCTCTTCTGAGGTAATACTATGCTATGCAAAAAATGTAACTCAATATAAAATAACAAGTTGTATATGTTGTATATTTGTATTTGGAGTTTTTGACCAAATCAAAAGTGTATTATTTTCATATAATACATATTATTTTCAGGAATATTTGAAGGCCGGAGGCCAGTCCTTTATTTATTTGACCCTGAACTCATTAAAGCTGTCACAATCAGAGACTTTGAACATTTCGTAGATAGAAATACTCTTAATTCCAATGAACCAAGGTATTTGAAACAATCATTGTTGAATTTAAAGGTTGGTCAAATTCTAAAGATTCATAATTCATTAATATGTCATATTATTAAATTTTGTGATTTTTTTGTCAATAAATACCAATGTTTTTAATTTAGGGTCCAGAATGGAAGAATATTAGGAGCATATTGACGCCAGCATTTAGTTCTGCTCGTTTGAAATGCATGTTGTCCTTAATTGAGATGTGTAGTGAACAAATGATTATTTACTTGAAGCAATATGGTAAGCAAATAACATATGTTTGATTACTTTACTTATTTAAATAGGGATGTTAACTAAAATTTTGTTTGTCTGTCAGGTAGATTGTTGAAACATTTTAAACACACATTTTTTAATTTGTTGCGTAATAATTAAATTATGATGATATATTGACCTAAAATGTCAGGTTTTAGTACATTTTCTATAAGACTGATGTAGTGAGCTCCCACTCCTCAACTTTAATGCCTGTTATCTAAGTTATTTCTTATTAAATTGAAGTAAAAAAAAAATATGTATATTTTTATTAGACTAAATAGAATTTCTTTTTTTTTACCCTGTCATCATCCCTATTACTTGATGAGTCTCACAATATTAAACTGAATAGCATAGAACAGTATCAGTACATCAACCCGGCATTACATATCTCTTTCACTTGTGTGCTAACATACTGCTATTGCGCCCGCACAGAGGCATCTAGCCAATTTTGTCATATTAAAGTGAACCTTACATGATTATGATCTACCGATCATAGTAGGCACAAAAATCAACGTACGAAATTCTCCCTACTCGGTGACTATGTTATGGAAAAACATGTACCTAATTTTACTCTTTAGAAATGTTTCCTGTAATTACAGAAAGAATAAATTTTCAGATAAAACTGAAGTAGAGATGAAAGATACCATGGGTCATTTCACATTAGAAGTTATAGGTGCGTGTGCTTTTGGAATAAAATGTGATGCATTAACTGATGAAAATGCACATTTTTTGAAGGTAAATAAAAAATTCTCTACTAATACAAGGTATTATTAGAATGGTATTAGATACATAACAAAGATGAATTATTCTTAACTTTGATTCTGACTAGCATGAATGCTGTACCTTAATTTTTGCATACCAAGTAAACATTAATTCGGCTAGGAACATTTTAATTTCTGATGCATTTTTCTCTTAATAGTTAACTGAAAATTAAAACTAACACTATTAATTTCTTCTTGGTGATATAGTGAAATAAAACAGCTTTTTTTAATTTATCTTAATCACTAGTTAAGTGTATGTCTTTCGAGTGCTTATCAATCGTCATTAAACCGAAATTTATGATACTGTTACATTTTTATCTTCATTTAAATTTCGCTGAAGAGGTCATTTAATATTTCATTATTTTAGGTAGCTGAAAAGTTTAATTTCATGCCAAAACTTAAAAGAATTATCATTTTTTCTTTTCTGATATTCATGCCAAAAATGATCAGATATTTTAACATATCTTTCTTATATACTCCAAGTATTGAAGAGCTAGTAAGAATCTTGAAAGCAGCCAAAGAGGAAAGGAGATTATCAGGAAACAAGTATGGATTTATATTAATTATATTATTTTGTTATTTTTAACAAAAATTATATATTGTAATGTATTTACAGAAAAAACGATTTCCTTCAACTTCTTATTGATGCAACAGAAAGTGAAAAATCAGATACAACATCAAAAACCCGTATGTATATAAATGTATATATTTACTAAGCTGGTCCTTTTTATTAGATAAGGTTTTCTTTTTTATTTCATGAGCACACTAGGGTTAGGGGTGAAGGGTTTTTGTAAATGCTGTAAGTACCTACTGTTATTGAATAATTTTTAAGGAAACTGAATCATAAGTAATACTAATAACTTTTAATTTGTTACTGTCTACTAGTATAGTATTAATATTGTATTATAATATGTCGAGTGGTGATATTATTAGGTACACCGGTGTGTTTGTTCTCTGATAATAACACTTATCATTTACAATTTCTAAACGTGGATAAGTAAGACAAATATAAGACAGGTACATGTATTTGTTTTGGTTAAGTTGTATAATAACGAGAATGACTAAGTCATAGTGATTATTTCAATATCCACCTTATTTCATACAGAGAGATCTGAAAATAACATGTAATAATTATTACAATGGGTGGAATATTACAAAAGGCTTTTGCTCAATGTGCTTAGCTTTATCTGAATGGAATAAGGTTCATAATAAAATATTACTTAATTTAACCAATGCCCGGGGGTTTTCCACACTTAACATAATGTGGTAAGGATTAGATTTTCAATACTTTACCCACGCCTTTTTTACATTTTTTTATTGACTAAAGTCGCTTGACAATTTTTTTCTTGTATATTTATTTTAAAGCTTTTTTAGTATTATTTAATTAGCAGATTTTATTACAGACATAGACGTACACTACTCTTTAGTACGGTTTTAGACAGTAAGTTACACATGCAATACGCAGATAAAGTATCAGAATCCTTAAGGCCCCAAACTGGAAGCCAGCGTGCGCGGTGGCGATGGTGACCGCAACGTGGCGGCGGTTCCTAGGGAAATTAGTCCGTTCTCGACGCCATCGGTCAGATCACTCATTTCAATATGATGTGATTCAATGTGTAATATGAGTCAAATATTTATTACTTGTTGAAGAATTATAGAAAAATCTCGCTTCTGAGCCACGTTTATAAGCTGTTTTCGAGGGTCATTACGAATCGTCTCGAACGCCGGTTTGATGACTTCCAGCCTTCCGCACAAGCCGGTTTCCGAAAAGGCTTTAGCACCATAGACCACATACATACGCTGCGGCAGATTATACAGAAGACCGAGGAGTATAATCTGCCACTTTGCTTAGCGTTTGTGGACTATGAGAAAGCCTTCGATTCAATCGAAACCCTCTAGCGATGCCAAATCGACTACAGATACGTCGAAGTGTTGAAGCGTTCGTATAGCAACGCCACAATTCGATTCTCTACCAGGAAGAGAGCACGAAACCAATCCAATTGCTCAGAGGCGTGAGCCAGGGAGATGTCATTTCTCCGAAACTGTTCACGAATGCATTGGAGGACGTCTTCAAGCTCTTGGAATGGGACGAATACGGCATCAACATCAATGGCGAATACATCACTCACCTTCGTTTCGCCGATGATATAGTCATCTTGGCAAGATCGATGGAGCACATCAGTACAATGCTCAGCGACCTGAGTATCGTTTCCAAACAGGTAGGTCTTAAAATGAACATGAACAAGACGAAAATCATGTCGAATGTCCATGTTGCACCCGTACCGGTGGTCATTGGAACTGATACTCTCGAAGTTGTCGATCACTACGTGTACCTTGGACAGACAATCCAGTTAGGTAGATCCAATTTCGACAAAGAGGTCGCTCGAAGAATCCAACTCGGCTGGGCAGCGTTCGGGAAGCTACGCGATATCTTCACGTCCTTATTACCACAGTGCCTAAAGACGAAGGTGTATAACCAGTGTGTGTTGCCAGTGATGACCTATGGCACAGAAACGTGGTCCTTAACTGCTGGCCTCTTAGAGAAGCTTAGAGTCGCTCAGCGAGGCATGGAGAGAGCTATGTTAGGGGTTTCTTTGCGCGATAGGATCCGAAACGTGGATATTCGCCAAAGAACTAGAGTGACCGACATAGCTCGCAAAGTTTGTAAGCTGAAGTGGCAGTGGGCAGGCCACATCGCTCGACGAACCGATAACCGATGGGGACGAAAGGTTCTCGAGTGGAGACCACGAACCGGAAGACGCAGCGTGGGTCGACCCCCGACTAGATGGACGGACGACATCGTCCGAGTCACGGGCGGCCACTGGATGCAGCTGGCGCAATGTCGTCCGTCGTGGCGTTCAAAGGGGGAGGCCTATGTTCAGCAGTGGACGTCTTCCGGCTGATGATGAATGAAATGAATTCGCCGCTCGATTGGTGCGCGACGTTCATTGACCGGGCTTATTCTGTTTATCTAACCTGAAACAGACACCTTAAGGTGGATAGTCGGAAACGCGTGTTTATCTGTATACCCTGAACGGGGTGGATAACAGGAATCCGCATCATAATTTTACTTACGATTTTCTCCCCCGCCTGTGTACAGTGACTTAAAAAAACGTATAAACCCAGCCAAAGATACTTGGTACCTAACATTAAAAAAAAGAAATGATTTATTTTGTTATGTGATTTTTATACATACACTGTACATTGTACTTGGGGTAAAAAAAAAGAACATTCAAAAGCGATCCATCGAGTTCATCTATCCACTCCGTTCAGGGTGGATAGATGAACATGCGTTTCCGATTATCCACCTTAGGGTAGCTGTTTCAGGGTGGATAAACGGAATAAGCCGTTGCCTGCAACTCGGCTGTCTAAAACGGTTCATTAAAACTTAGGCATTTCTATCAAGTCGCACGTTATACCGCGGTTCAGTTTGCGGCTCATGGACATATATTGTTAACTCATTAACTATATTTTTATTTTTAAAATCTTGTTCACATGGACATATATTGTTATACAACTACTTATAAGTACATATATTTCTCGTTTTTTACAGATTTAGATGATGATACTATTGATGCCCAGTCATTGCTTTTCTTGATTGCCGGTTATGAGACTTCTAGTACTCTGCTGTCTTTTGCTGTACACGTTCTAGCAACAAAGCCGCATATTCAAAATCAACTTCGCCAACATGTTGAAGAAGTAACGAGTGGAAAAAAAATTGATTATGAAGTGCTGTCACAATTATCATATCTTGAAGCATTTCTGCTAGGTAAATACTTATCATTATGTCAGTTTATTAATAGGAATTGTACTGGTAGGTAACAATTACTTATGTAGTTATTAGTTTCAAATATGTACCTAACTACAAAATATTTAGCATCATTTATGAAAAAATAATGTTTGGAAACAGATAATTACGTTTTTGTAAATTATTGAGTTACAGTGAAGCCTTTAATCTGAAATTAAAGAGAGTAACACCCATTTTCACTAACTTAGAACAAGGACTAGCTTAACTAGGAAACGCCCAATATTGCAAATCGCCCAAGCAGACTAGTTTAATTTCAAATATTTTTTTTATCCCTTGACATATTTATGACCTGTCATATACGCAAACGCCTAGCGCAAGGCGCCGCATAGCGAATATTATAACTTTAAACATCTTTAGACTCCTTAATTTTGTTAGGTACGCCAGAACGAGTATATTATGGCTCAGATGCAAACCCCGCATATTCTACATATTGTTACCTGTTATGCACATCCAAACTCCGTATGACGTCAGCCATATCATTGAGGACATTGTCCTCAGTATTTCACATTTACTTTATTAAGTAAAAGTAATCTTCCAGACTTACTTTATTAATGCTTTTAAACACAGGCTGGTTCCATTAGCTATAATATTATACATTTAACTATTAGCATAGATGGGGGTGTTATTTATTGGATAATTGAAGTATTGCTACATGTTTGAGACCTACAACATAAAATATTTTTATTTTAGAAACGCTAAGGAAATACCCACCAGTATCTCGTGTGGACAGAACATGTACTAAGAACTACACATTACCTGGTACATCAGTGCAAATCAAGGTTGGCGAAGTGGTTGCGATTCCAATATATGGTATTCACATGGATCCGGATATTTACCCTGACCCTGAAGAGTTTCGACCAGAAAGATTCATGGGCGATGAGAAAAAAGAGAGATCTTCGCATCTGTTCTTAGCCTTTGGTGCAGGTCCAAGAAATTGTATTGGTAAGTTAAAAATATATTATTTTTTTATATATTTACCGTAAAATGGGGTGAAAAGGGATCGAGAGGTGAATAGGGATAAAACCGGGAAAATATTTCGACGCTTCATATTACTACTAAATTCGTTACAAATTCTTCCATTTTTTTTTGTGGTGTAACAGTAGAATATTGAACGTTCTCATTGCAACACAAAATATACATGACATTAGGTGGAAACGGTCAAAAATCTAATTTGAAAGTTAGTAATTATTTTTGTGTTAGAAACTTTGTTCTCTTTAATTTATAAGTTAATAATAGACGACGGCTGTGATTTCAAAACGTTATTTAGTATTTGGGCCTACATATATATTATAGGTAAGTCTCAGTTTTTGTTGGATTTTAATGTTTTTTGATAATTTAGAAATGCATGTCTAAAAATCTGTTGTTTTCGGGGTGAATGAGGATGTCTCAGGTATTAATAAAAATGAAAGAGAGGTCAATGAGGATGAGAATATGTTAAATAGGAACGAATCAAGTATGAAAAGGTACAGGTCTGTAGGGTTGTCACTAAGTAATTATAAAAAAAAAAATTCGAGTAGGCAAGAATTTGGTTTATTCATGATGTTTTTGTGTAGAACTTTTATTTAATTAATTATGCAGTTTTATTTTATTGTTGCAAATATATTAAAGGTACGTACATTTACCATTTTCAGATATGCTTTACGTGTACATATCAAAAAGTTCAAAGTCAATGCCAGCCCTAGCAAATTTCTCAATTGACTCTATTTTCGTCCCCATTTACTCCAATTTCTGGGTAAATAGGGATAGCATCTATTTTTGCCATTTTAGCTTAAACTGAAATCCTTATTGCATAGTTTCAAATAAGATTACAAAGATACCATCAAGACTCAATCATTTTGATCCTGATATAGCAATATATCCTTCAACAATTATCTTCAAATTGTTCATAAAGTTGGGAATTGTCCCTATTCACCCCATTTTAGGGTACCTATTAAAATGAAATGAGAAACCCAAGTTTGTTACCCTGTAATATATTAGACGGTCACCATTACATAGGCGTACTTTAATGAATTCTTTAATATAAAAAAAGGTTTTTCTTTTCAGGACTTCGATTCGCAATGTTTTCTGCAAAGTTAGCCATGATTGCTCTATTGAAGAATTTCAAATTTTCAGCAAGTTCTAAAACTGTTGATCCTATAAAAACAGACAAGACAGCTGTTTTGTTAAAGGCCGAAGGTGGTTTATGGGTACACCTTGAAGCTCTTTAGGCTTTGCACATATATGGAAAACAAAATACAGCAAGATGTAACTAATGTGGCTCCTCGGTGTAGCTGCACACTAAGCTAAATTTCCCCATTGACCCCAGCCGAATCGAAGAACCATAAATACGAAATAATTTATCATATTTATGGTTATTGAAACAAGACTCATTATAAATTTTAATCTTACGTTCGGTTATCGTCGAAATAAAATTGGTAGATCTGCTCTTTATAAACGAGTAGTCATCATGCGCCAAATTAGTTGGAACTTACTGTACCAATGAATATTTTATTTCAATGTAATCAGTATGAAATCTGTCGCTACCTGTGCAGGCGTAGACAATGTTTTAGCCAGTGATACCGATCTATCTCTGATCCTCTTCCCATTGATTAACCTTACTTACCGTCATACAGCGCTTCGCATCTGCGAGTGTCTAATTTTTACCAGAGTACGGCGAAGCGCAAAAAGGATTATGATTTTGGCAGGTATGTATGTATAATGGTCATCTGTTTCCTTTTAACTTTGAAACTACTCATCCTAAACGGACAAATGAGGTATTAAATTGGCAATAGCCCCTCTAGCGAGCATAAAATAAGAAACTAAAAAAAAAAATAAGTTTTTCAATCATTCCGTGTAGGATATCAAATAAAAAGGCTTAATTAGCACATTTCAAATATACATTATATATTAATATATTGATAGCTTTTACTTGCGATTTTGCTTAAATACACCCGAAAATTTATTTACGGTTTGTTTTGTTATGATCAGAGGCATATGACTATGCTGTCCTTTAGTCATCGCTATTATAATATAGCTGTGGCTATAAAATAAATTTCTTGTTTCAAAGTTTCTGGAGAGTGATTTAGCTGTTGTCGGATTTAAGTTTAAACTTACTGAGGACAACGGTCTCTATGGTTTTCAGTGATGCTATATTGTGTCAGTATGAAAGTGCCTATGTTTGTAGAGCATTATAGTAGGTTAATAAATTACAATATATATATTTTGTAAAAAAATAACAATTATATTTTTACAATATTTTTTTATTTTAGCAGGTGTTGGTAATGTGTTACAATAATGAAAGTACAAAATATTTAGATTTTTGTGAAGGCTGCTATGAAAAACCCTATAGTATCTCTGTAAATAGGTTCAGCCTCTCTAAGTGGATCTACTTCAGGGCTGAATCTTTGTACCATAAACCTGAAAAAAAAAAAATACGATTAGCTACCAAGTGTTACATTATCCAGTTTGTAGATTAAGTTATTAACAGTGATATTGAACTGAACTTTAAAATAAGTTAAAAAGAATGTAAGTATGTTCAATTTAGAAAATGAATGTAAATAAACCGAATGCTCAATATTTCTAATAATAATTATTTAAACTTGTACAATCATCAACAAATGCCATAAACATGTGATATAATAGTAATGCCTATATTTATAACCTTTATACAGCATGAAATTTTATATATGCTGAAGTAATTAATACCATGGCTGTATTCTAAATTAAAGTATAGACTAGTTTAAGTGCTCTTTCACTTATAGCACTATTCGCACGCTTTTGTGTGACACATGCACCTATATGTTAAAGCAGTCTGAAAAAAAGTATTATAGTAATTTATCTCAAATGTGTATTAAATATTATTTTGTCTAAATATCATTAATGTAATATTTAAAGTCCATTTCTGATTTATTGATTTGAGACTATATGGGGCCCTAGTGTAGCTTGGTGTGGTTTCAAACAAAATTAATTTAGAAATCTGTACATTTAATACATCAAGTTGAATCAAAAACACTTGACATTCAATATAGTATTGAATGTTAAGAACATTTTGATCAACTCCAATATCAATTCAAAGGTAATAAAGGTAAAGGCAGTAGGCCTGCTGGTCTTTTAACAAAAAAAATACAAAAAATATTGTTTTAAAGCAGATGTATTTAATAATATGGAACTCAAAATTAGGATTAATGTTCACTCTTCACTCTTGAATATATTATTAAAGTCAGTATTCAAGTTGCATCAACATGGATACAAGTATTTGTACAACAATTAAACTGTATTAATACTGTAGTGCTAAAAGAAGACTGTTAAAAATTATGAAGTAACCTAAATGTGATATTTGAATTTTTGTAATAATAAACTAAAATATACTTTTTCTGTAAGTTCATTACAATAGAAATTTTACTTAGCAAATATAAATAACTAAATAATCATAAATTTATATTCTTAGCTATATATACTACAATTCATAATAAATAAAATTACTTTGTGTAGTAGTAATTACAAATATCTTGTATTATTCTACTTCCTCAGGCTAGTAATTCCTAATGTTGATTAGTCCTGAGAGATATCATTTAACCTGATTTCATAAGTTTTTCTATTTATCTATTGTTGTATGTTGTAATATAAGTAAATAATTTATTATATTTTTTGTGACCTTTGTTCATCATTTAATCCACATCCTGCCAATCCTGGACCTCCATGTAGTGGGTGAGCTGATATCAGCTTCAAACAAGGAAATTTTTGTAGAGCCCATTGTACCATGCCTTCATTTTCATCCACAGTCACTGTGCATGTACTATATACCAATCTTCCTCCTACTTTTAAAACTTCTACAGCCTACAAAACAATACATTGATTTTTGAAGTTCTAAACAAAGTAGACATTAAATGAAAATGATTCAAATTGAAAAACCAATTTACCATACTCATCAGTTTCCTCTGTACAAATTTATATGATTCAAGCATTTTAGGAGTAATTTTATTCTTAAGCATTGGTCTTTGACCCAAGCCACTACAAGGAGCATCTAGTAGCACTTTGTCAAAACTATTAGGATAGTAAGGTGGACTGAAATCTCTTCCAATGCTCTCATTTGAACTACATTTTGTAGAATCAAAAGTATATGCTCTGACACATGTCACTCCTTGTTTGATACAATTTTCTTTAATCTTTTCAACTTTCTGAGATGTCTTATCCAATGCTATTATTACTGCCTAAAAGATTTTCAAAGCAATATTTAATTCAGAAATATATAGTAAATTTATGTCACAAAAAAAATGTACCAACTTTATCATTAGCCATTTCAGCTAAATGTGTAGTCTTATTTCCTGGTGCAGCACACATGTCAAGAATGTATTCATTGGGTCTTGCATCAACAACCCAACCACATACAATAGATGGTAGATTTTGTAGAACTATAATGCCATCTGGGTATATTTGTTCATTAATTACAGGCAATCTTGAAGCTGGCATTATTGTTTTTACTGCAATTCCACTAGTACAGAATATGAAATTAATATTAAAAGTAGAAATTTAAAATGTAAAATATAAGTAATTTTATTACCTGGGCTGAATACCTTTATTATAAAGATCATTTCTTAACATCTTAACAGTTCCTGTGCCTACAAATAATTTTTCACCAGAGTATTCCACTTTCAGGCCCCTTTTACAGTGACCTGATAAGTCACCATAGATCTCAACTACGTCATTAAGTTTACAATCTAGTAACACAAAAGAATAATAATGAACATAATTGTTTTCATCTTATTTAGCAAAATAGTTAAAATATTATTAGACCATCTTACCAACTGGAAATCCCATTACACCAGGGGCAAAAACATTTGCACCTCTTAATACAGCAGCTGCACACAAGCTATCCACAATAACAGTCTTTGTTGCATTTACATTAGTATATTCTTCAGGCCATCTCTCTAACACCAAACAATCGGATGTTAATAAGTAGAAGTTTGGTAATGTAGAAGTATTCAATTCTGCGGCTTGCTATAAAGAAATCTCTTAGTAAAGAAATTATTAATTGTTACTACAAAAGAGAGTACTTATTTAAATATGAAATAACAAGTAGCTACATAATAACATAACTCACAATTGACAAAAAGTTTTTGAGGATGTCACAATTGAATGGGCTAAGTCTGTTTATCCTAAATGTAGTATATTTTGGAGGCTCTGAAAGCCATTTTGTAAATTTCTCCATCGCAAAATACGTCTGAAAAGTTTTACTCTAACTTTTAAAGTTTAGGTTTTCTAAAACCTAACCCAGAGGCGAGCGACATCGGTGTTCTTGACATTGACATTTTGATTACTTTAAAACGATAGTAATAATATAACAAGACTTTAACTCTGAAAAATAGTTTGAATTTTAATAATATTATTCAAAGTGTACAAAAGTTAATGCGACCCGTGACGTGAGAACAGATTTTTTTTTAAAGGTTTTACGGCCCTGGCTTCCATGGCCTTCAGCCGTGTCTTTATCGTGAGAACAGAACAATATAATCATAGACTTACGAGAAGAATACCGGCTGCATAGACATAAATAAAGGAAAATTTTCCTTAACGTCTAACGCTATCTATAAAGATACCGCGCGAACTACGTAGCTAAATGATCATCGCCATCTTTTATTCATTTCATTTTCATTTTACATGTAAAAATTAATTTATTTACTTGACATTGGCAGAATTTTGCGAGATGCGCAGATAAGCCATTAATTAAAAAAGAAGAAGAAGAAGAAGCTATGGCGGGAAATTCAAATTATCGTATAGACGGGAAATTCAAACTAGCCATAATAGGCTCCTATTTTGTTACAGTTCGCGCCAAACTTCTAGCAAGCTCTGAAATTATTTCGAGCAACCGTGAGCGATAATAATAGGACTCTAATAAGACTCTAAATAAAATAAAAGGACTCATCGTCACAGATTATATTCAGCGTTGCCAACTTTACATGTCAAAAGTCGTTAGCGTACGTTTGACAAGTCGCTAGATGTCGCTAGCTATGGCAAAAGATTAAAAGTCGCTAAAAGACTGAGCGCTTGCGGATAAAACAGCGCAATACTGTTAGTCACGTACCTCTAATTCTATATCGTTTTACGCACTGCAGAAAGGGCAAAGATTTTTGGTCTTTTGGTATAAAAAAACATAATTTATTTTACTTATAATAATATTTGTAATCGGTATAAAAACAATTATTAAATAAATAATTACTAAAAAATAATTCAACAAATAAAAAGTCAACAAATCAACACTAAATTGTAATATAACATAAAACAATTATATCAGAATTAAAAAGGTACTTAATACCAAAAAAGATGAAAAAGTGTCTTCATTCATTATTAGAACTAACGCTAATAATCTGATAATCTCAAATACTTAATGTATCCGTTCTTCGAAATTGGAATTAATACCCGAAGTTGATGGCTGAGGCTGCGATGTACGTTTGGCATATGAATATAATTTATTGGTCCCAATTTTATTTAGCACATCAATTGGTATCTCATAATTAGAGCAGCTTTTATTGGCTCTTCTTAAAGAGTATTTGATCATCAAAATAGAGTTAAATGACTTCAAACACATTCGATTTCGAAACTCCGATTTTGTAATGTTCATGGTACTAAATATCCTTTTGATTTCAGCATTCGAATTAGGTAACGATATTACAGTTATTGCCAAATCACATAATTCTTGAAATGGTTTTTTGTTGGCAGCATCTTTATATTGGTTGACTTCAGTCCAAAAATCAAACGTGCTATAATGTTTTCCCACTTAATAAAATTTATATGGTGCCACTGTATATAATTTTTTCTAATTTTTGTACGTCATCAACCCCTAACTCTTTTGCCAAACTTATAATATTTAAACTTACAATACTATCATTTTGATTCTTCGTTCTCATAACTTCGCTGACGGATAATTTATTCATTTTGATCAATATTTCGATATTTGGAGGAAGCCTACTTTGCAATGTCCTTATTAACTTGACTGTAAAGTCAATACACCTTTGTTTCACTATATTAGTGACATCTTCATTCAAATTAAGTTTTCAAGCACCATTTTCAAATGCAGAACCAAACGTAGCATAGGAATTAAGGTGAGTTGCGGATTATCTTGGGTTTATGCAGCCCAGTATCACTGCGACCATTGCTGATCTATTGTGATCTCCACATACTACAGTTCACGGTCAAGATTACATTCTACAAGGAACTGTAGTATTTTCTTGGCCGTAAGTTCTTTAATATCGTCTGGGTGCATCACGTGCTTTCCCAGATAGATACATCGTTTTCGCATTAGTAACGGGCAATCGGTCAAAATGTGCAAAGGTGTTTCTTCTTCCTCCTTGCATCCTCTGCACATTCTACTGTCGCTGATCCCCATATTGTGCATGTGTCTGTTCAGTCCACAATGCCCTGTGAGTGCTCGTACTAGTGTGCGAAGGTGAGTTTTGGTTAAGTTTAAGGCCTCTGATGCCGCCTTTTTGTTGAAGGTTTTAATCAGGGTCTTAGAGTGTTTCATACCGGGAGTGTTTCTCCATAGTTGAATAGCTGCGTAGTGGCAGTAAGTTTTCAAGGTGAGCTGGGTTAGGCTTTGAGGGATGCCACAGAAAGGTTCTGGTCCGATAAGGGCGTCTTTAGCACCCTTTTTCGCCAGTTTGTCCGCCTGTTCATTGCCCTCGTGTCCAGCGTGCCCTGGAACCCATCGTAGAACTACTTTGTTGTTGTTGCCCAAAGAGTTCAGTGTCTGTTTGCAGTTCTCGACCAGCTTCGATCTAGTTATGTCGGAAGCTAGTGCTAAGAGTGCAGCTTGACTATCAGAGTGGATGTAGATAGTATGATTGAGGTAGTTATTTTGCAGATTGGCTGCCGCACATTCCAAAATGGCGTACACCTCTGCCTGGAATATTGAGGAGTACTTTCCCATGTTCAGACTTATAGCCTTCCTTGGGGCTTCTCCATGAATTCCACATCCTACCTCAGGACCGGATTTGGAGCCGTCAGTGTACCACTTTAGGCTTCCATTTTTCCATACTATACGATTGTTTGACCAGTCGTCCCTGGTGGGTATCTCCACAAGATATGACCTGTGTGAATCGATTCTCGGGGGCATGGTGTCAGTAGGCATCCCCAGGATTGGTATATTGCATATTGAGTCCTTCAAGTACCTCAAATTACCTGACAGCCATGTCTTCGCCTCCATGCTAGTAATCCTGTACATGCTAGCCCTCGCCACCATTTCAATGTGTAGATGTAGGGGCGGCAGGTTTAGCAGAGCCTCAAGGGCTGCAGTCGGGGTGGAAGACATAGCTCCTGTTACTATAAGACAAGCAGTCCTTTGCAGACTGTTAAGTCTTGATATGATAGTACTCTGTGTCGTTTTTCTACTCCAAACCACCGAGGCGTAAGACACCATCGGCCTTATGATGGCTGTGTAGAGCCAGAGGGCTATATTGGGTTTCAAGCCCCATCTATTTCCCGCTAGCCGACAACATATCATCAGAGCTGTTTTAGACTTCTGTATAATTCCGTCTACGTGTGCGTTCCAGGTAAGTTTCTGGTCCAGTGTTACCCCCAGATACTTGACCTCTGTCGAGAACGGAATGAGCCTCCCATTCATGGTCGGAGGCGAAAGCTTGTCCAGCTTTCGTTTCCTTGTGAATGGGACGACCACGGTTTTGCCTGCATTAATCGACAGATTATTGTTTTTACACCATGAGTTAATTGTGTTCAGCGCCCTCTGCATAAGGTGCGATAGCATACTTTGGCAGTTTCCTCTCACTATCACCACCAGGTCATCGGCATAGCCCAGGGTGTCAAAGCGGAGTTCAGCCATCTTATGGAGAAGCTGATCCACCGCAAGAGTCCACAGTAGCGGAGAGAGTACTCCACCTTGTGGGCATCCTCTTGTTGTTGCTAACTCTAGTGAATCATTGAGTAGTTCCATCCTCACTGTCCTACTCTCTAGCATGGTTCTTATCCATCTTACAGTAGTGGAGTCAATCTCTTTATGGACTAATCCTCTTACTAATGTCTCGGTGGGCGTGTTATCGAACGCTCCTTCCACATCAAGAAAAGCAACGAGTGCTATTTCTTTATCGTCCAGTGCCTTTTCAACCTTGTCTATAAGGTTTAGTAGGGCAGTCTCCGTAGATCTGCCGCTTCGGTAGGCGTGCTGGGTATCATGTATGGGTTTGTTGATAAGACTCCCTTGTCTGATATAATTGTCTAATACCTTCTCCATGGTCTTCAGAAGAAATGACGTGAGGCTGATTGGCCTGAAGGACTTTGGTGATGTATAGTCCTTCTTTCCAGCTTTAGGTATGAACACGACTTTCACCTTAGTCCACAGATCTGGAATATATCCCCAGGCGAAACTGGCTCTGAAGATTTTTACCAGATAAGGGATGAGATTGGCGGCACCCCGTTGTAAAAGCACAGGGACTACGCCGTCAATTCCACCAGATTTAAAAGGTTTAAACGAGTTAATGGCCCATTTCACTATTCCAGGCCTAATAACGAGAGCGGCTCTTCTCCAGTCCTCTGGTAGAGGCCTTCGAAGAGTGATCGCTACTGCATTATCAGTAGATCCCGGAAAATGGGTGATAGCCATTAGCTGCAAGGTTTCCTTCTCGTTAGTCGTGAAGGACCCGTTCGGTCTTTTAAGGAGACCTAAGGGATTACAGTGTGCCTTTGCCATGATCTTATGAAGTCTTGCTCCTTGAGGCGTGTTAGTTATCTCCTCGCAGAACTTCCTCCATGATGCACGCTTGGCTTTTCTAATTTGTTTACTGTATTCGTTTAGGGCCATCCTGTAGGCATCCCATTCATGGGTGATTTTAGCCCTATTGAATAACTTTCGTGTTTCCTCCCTAAGTTTTTTCAGCTTTGAGTTCCACCACGGTACTTTCCTTTTGGATGATTTGATTTTGGGTGTACAGCTAGCCTCGAAGGCATCTTTAATGCCATTAGAGACCGCCTCTACCGCGAATTCAATGTTCTCAACCGTTCTAATGCATTTAGGAATTACTTCTAAGTTCCGAACAAGGTGTTTGTTGTATTCATCCCAGTCGGTGCGCTTAGGGTCCCTAAATGCACTAGTATGTGTACTTAGTTCTGATGTTAGTTCTAAGCATATATGCCTATGGTCTGACACTGAGTTTTCGTTACTAACCCTCCAGTTTTCTACATGCCTGGCCAGGTTGTAAGTGGCGAAAGAAATATCTAGCACTTCTTGTCTCGTCCTAGTTACAAAAGTTGGTTCACAGCCATTGTTTAAAGTTTGAAGACAATTGGTTACTAGGTAATTGTTTAATAACTCACCTCTGTTATTAATGTTTGTACTTCCCCAGTCGGTGTGGTGGGCGTTCGCATCGCACCCCACAAGCAGCTCAGCATGGT